CGACTCCTCTCGTCGGCGGCGGCGGTCTCGCTCAACAGACGCACTGCTCCTTCAGCGACGGCCGGTTGAGTGACGACTCCTCTACGACGGCACCTGGACGAATCAGCGGCTGACGGCGGCACGATCTGAACTGCAATCTCAGATTGGACTACTGGAATCTCAGATCTCTCCCGGCGGCTCAGCACGCACAGATCTGAAAAACCCTAGGTGACAAATTTCTCACAATTTGTGCTCGTGTTGAATAACCTTGCTCCGATACCACTTGTTGGGGATTATGCACGCAACACACACAAATATCTGCGAGAATCAAGAGAGAAACGGAACACAAACGACACACAAGAATTTATCGTGGTTCGGTTTCCCTAATCCACGGCTGCAACGGGAGGATTTTCTTATTTCACTTGTGGTACCGATTACAAGTACAAGAATGCAATATATATAGGAAGAGTGCATCTAGGGTTTCGTAAAATGGGCCGGGCCAAAAGTCAAGCCCAAGCCTCCACAAACCCAACATATAGGGCCAGAGAGATTGTTATACGACACGTCAAATGATGAAAGAGATGTGAGTTTTGTAGGATCCATAGGAATGTGTCCTGAGAGTTGGTTTCGGGAGAGATACGAAGATTCTAAATTCTTCATGTTGGAGAAAGAAGATGGAATGTGACCGCTGAGATTGTTTCTAGACAGATTTAGCATCTGAAGCCCCGCGAGATCTCCAAATGCATCTGGAATCTGTCCTTCAAAATTGTTGGAAGAGAAATCTATTCCACAAAGAGTATCTGGAATCTTCATATAGTTCCTTTCCAAGCCCTTGTTGATTATGGTCATTGAGTAATCAAATGGACCAAAATCTTCAAAAGGCTGGAAGAGATTTGGTAGCAAGAGCTGCTCCATGTATCCCATCTTGAGACTTGCATTTAATGCTCTCATATGAATCATGGTCTCAATGAACTTCGATGGCATCTTCCCACTAAAACTGTTGTTGAATAAGTTGACGACTCGTAGGTTTGAGAATCCAAAACCATCTTTGATCACACCATGGAACCTATTAGATCGCAAGATAAGGATGCTCAACGGAGCAACACTTTCTAACCATAATGGAAAAGTATCATTTATGTTGTTACCAAAATCAATGAACTCTAGTGATGAACAGTTTCCTAAAGAACTCGGTAACTGCCCTTGTAAGTGGTTGTAGCTCATACTATTCGCAAACTGCATTTACTTGTCCACGCCGAAGGAATGCTTCCATCAAATTTGTTTCCTCCGAGAGCCAACAATGAAAGGGAATCACTAAAATTGCTCAAGCATTGGGGAAGCTTTCCACTCAAACGATTGAATGACAAATCGAGATGCTCAAGGGATGTTAAATTGCAAATCAGATGTGAAACTTCTCCTGAAAAACTATTGTTTGAAATTAGGTAGGAACTAAAGTAGGGAAAAGGTGATGGTATTGGAAGAGATCAAGTATATAATTTAATTTTACTAATAAGGGTGTCAAATAAAAACTGCAAATCCAAAGGTAACAACTTAATGCAAAGTGACAACACAGAAAATTGCTCAAACCATTTTAGCCGAATGAAGTTTCAGTTCTGCGGAGAAAACTGTTTATAGCACTCATTTAAGTAACAGAAGCAATTTTTTTTTTTTAAAAAAAGAAGGAATACAATGGTTCAGAATGTTACTAGTGCACACCAAAATACTCATCACCGATTAAAATAAATCAAGCAAGCTTATAGATTACTAAAACTGATTGTTATAAGCTGGTGCATGCCTTCATGTGAAAAAACTTCAAACCAAGCTAGACTACAATAACCTGGATGAACAATACAATTTGCACTGTACATCACCGGCTTAATGCAAAAACTCAAGTCAGATATGCATGGAAATTAAGCAAAAGAACATATTGGAAGAAAATGAGAAGATAATGAGCGCAAACAATTTGGCTCGATCCTGTTTTTATATGAGTTTTTGCATGGTTATTAAGCACACCACGCACCCAAAAACCATCTAACATAGATCAAATAGCATCACTTGATAAAGATAAAATACATTACAACAGATAATACATAACAACAACAATTAAACACACTCACAACCATTTATTTCTCTTTCTGATTCCAAACACAGCTGAGGATTATCAGTATGTATGCTTCCCGTGATCTCAGGCGTACCATCTCTGTATCTTTGCAAAAGTCTTGACGAACCAATAATGTTTTCTTGTGGTGAATTCATTCCCAACGACCACTCCACCTACTAAACCACTAACAAATCCAATTGATATTATCGTCCACTTTATTTTGAAGTCTGATTCTGAGTCTTCCTCTTCTTCTGTAATGGACGGAGGCTGTTGCAGTCGGGGCATTGTCCTCGCATTTCCACACTGCTTACTCCAAGTCTCGACACACAATCCGGGATTCCCTTCATATGATTTGGAGTCGTAGTTACAGAACTGGTTTCGTTGTGGTATAGGGCCAGAGAGATTGTTATACGACACGTCAAATGATGAAAGATAAGTGAGTTCTGTGAGTCGAGTTGGAATCTGTCCTGAAAGTTGGTTCCGGGAAATATCCAAAGATTCCAAATTTTTCATGTTTGAGAAAGAAGGTGGTATCTGACCGCTGAAATGGTTTCTGGAAAGATTTAGCAGCTGAAGCCGCGTTAGATTTCCAATCACATCCGGAACATGTCCTTCGAACCTGTTGGAAGAGAAATCCACGGCATAAAAGATAACTGGGATCTTCGTATAATTCAACTCTGATCCTTTGTTATATATGGTCATTGAGTAATCAAATGAGCCATCTCCTGAAGTCCAACTCACATTTGACAAAAACAAGTTCTCCATGTATGCAATAGAGTGACTTGAATCTGGTGTTTTCATGGCATTCCAGGTGCCAATGAACTTTGATGGCAACTTCCCACTGAAACTATTATTGGATAAGTCGATTACTCGAAGGTTTGAGAATCCAAAATCATCATTAATGACACCATGCAAACTGTTGGATCGCAAAATAAGGACACTCAAGTGAGCAAGGGTTCCTAACCAAAATGGAAAAGTATCATTTATTTGGTTGTTACCAAAATCAACAAACTCAAGCATTGAACAATTGGCTAATGATCTCGGAAACTGCCCCTGTAACTGATTATGACTCATACTAATCATTCTTAGTTGGCATCCATCTCTCCACATTGACGGAATATTTCCATCAAAATTGTTTCCTCTAAGATCCAAAACTAAAAGGGAGTCACCAAATTTGCTAAAACACTGGGGAAGCTTTCCCCTCAGACTATTGAAGGATAGATCAAGATTCCAAAGGGATGTGAAACTGCAAATGAGAGGCGAGACTTCACCAGATAGATTATTGTTTGAAATTAGGTAGGACAACAGGGAGGACGAGGAAGGAGATGGGATTGGGAGAGATCCTTGAAGCATATTATTCCTAAGGTCTAGAGTTTGTATTCTAGCCCTTGGATGAAATACATGATGATCACGTTCAAAACTACTTAAAAGGTTATACGAAAGGTTCAAATCGATTCCATTATGAGAATTTTGACCAATGTCGAAAATCCAAGCAGGAATTTGGCCTCTCAAGTAGTTATCAGAAAGATCCAAATACTCCAATGTGTGTTTGTTGTTGGGTAGGAATGTAGGAAACTCGTGCAGATTGCATGAAGCCAACCCTAAAACATGTAAGCTTGGAAAGTAGTTGGCATCTTTTGAACTAATGTTTTTTACGCCCAATACAAAATTATTATGTGACAAGATTAAAGAAGTTAAATTTTGGAAGCGAGAGAATGCGCTTAGCTCCACGGAGCCAACTAACTTATTACGTTCAAGTGAAAGAAACTTGAGGTTATGGAGACTAGATAGATTTGTAGGAATAGATCCTTCCAGATTATTATACGAAAGGTCTAACCACTCAATTATGCGACTAAATTGGGACAAGATCTGACCAGTTAACTGGTTGTTCGACAAGTCAACGTGTATGAGCTGAGTGAGGTTCATGAGCCAAGAAGGGAATGGACCAGATAATTTGTTGTGAGAGAAGTCAATGTCTGTGAGATGAGTGAGGTTCACGAAGGAAGATGGGATCGGACCAGTAAGTTGATTATCATTGATATATAGCCGAGTAAGTCGGGTGAGGTTCATGAAGGAAGATGGGATTGGACCAGTAAGTTGATTTTCATTGATATTTAGCTCAGTAAGTCGAGTGAGGTTCATGAGCCAAGACGGGATCTCACCCTTCAGGTTCTTGCTTCCAAGATCCAAGCGAGTGATCTTGGTGAGCTTACCGATCCATGATAATGAACTAGTAGTGAAACTATCAGGGCTGAAGTGATTACCTCCCCAAATAAGATTGTCCACAGAAACAAGTTGGGTAAGATTACCGAGTGACATCGGAAGCTTCCCTGTAAAACTGCAACCATAGATGTCTATATTTTCCAAAGAAGCAAGATTTCCAATGGAGGGAGGCAACACTCCTCCAAAACTTGTTCCAGAGAGCAGCAGCGATTTAAGAGGACTCCCTGATGGGAAGTTGGGCAAATGACCTTTGAGACCATAATTGTTACTTAGATCGATCACCTTGAGCTTTGGGAGATTGAAAATGGCCACGGGAAACTCACCCATCAGGCCACACCCATTAAGAACGAGCGTTTCTAGAGACGAGGAATTGAAGAGGAGGTCATGAGGTAGAGTTGAAGAATACATGAACACACGAGATAGATCAAGGTGCTTCAAATTGGTCATGTGTTGAACTAGTCCTTTCAGACTACCAACTTCCAAATAGGGTATTACATCAGCCGGAGGGTACGAGAGATTGAGGGAAACCAAAGTGGTAATATTGGAGAGCTGTTGTTGTGGGATTTGGCCAACAAAGTTCGAAGTGGACAGGTTGAGATGAGTGAGACGGGAGAGGTTTCCGATTGCGGAGGGTATGTGAGAATAGTTGAAGTTATTCCAGGAGAGGTCCAGCCTCTGGAGGTGAGTGAGGGTAAAGAGGGGGCTGCTGGAGTTTATGGAACCGAAGAGGAAACTCTTACTAAGGTCTAAGCCAATCACATGATCAGTTTGTTCATCACACTCGACACCGCCCCACGAGCAGCAATCACCCCCGTCTTTCCATGATTCTAGTATTGTATCATCGAAATGCCGACAATGATGCTTGAATTGAAGCAAGGCTGCCATTTCGTCGTCTTGACAACGTTTCTTGTTTAAAGATGATGATGATGATGATGATGATGAGTGGATGAATGCCTCCACAGAATTTTGAGAGATGAAAATGAGTATGAATGATGATGAAAAGATGAACAACAACAACAACAACAACAAGTTGAATGATGATGATGATGACTCCATACTCACCCCACAAACTTTTTCTCTTCTTTAGCAAATATATTATGAGTGCTGCAGAGATCAATCTAAGCTTAAATGGAAGACTCAATCCTCCCACCATACCACTCTGCTTTACTACTCCCTTCGTCATAAAATTAACTTCTAATACGACTTTTGACCGTCTCCAATGCAATACTAAAACTATTAATATCTCTACTTTTATTTAAATATATATTATAAAAATAATATATTTCAAAACTATGTTTCAAAATGAATTTATTGGTAACAAATTTATATAAAAATTCAAAGTATTTTTTTGTAATTTGCTGTCAAAATTTAAAAAGTTTAAACTTGGAAGTTAATTTTAGAACAAAGGATTGTTATTATTATGAGAAAAAATACAAATGGTAGTTTTTGACTAATCCAATTAGAATGGAAGACTTTTCTCATATGGAGAAGGAGACTCAAGTCAACCATTTACTTTTCCCATATTCATGTGCAACTTCAACCTAATTACCTTAATGCCAACTTTTTCTCCACCTGTATTCTTTAGTTCATGTCTAATGTCTATACTCACTAACTCCTATGTTATGCTCACTATTTAATTGCAGAACAAAATCTCTTCTTCTTTTTTCAATGGTAACTGCAGGTAGAATTGAGTTTGCAAAGGGAACGGGGGGGGGACCAAAATAAACTTTTCACCCTTTTTTTGTTTGTCCCAAAAAGGCCAAAATAAACTTGTCATTTTTTAATTCATATTTAAAGAAAGTATTTTTCAATCTGTTTTGCAAAAACCTCAAGACAATTTTTACTTTTTCTTAAAGTCATTGCAAAAAAAATGGAAAGTTTAATTTGGGGTAGAGAGTATGTTGAGTCTTAACTCTAGCATTTTCAAAAAGCTACCCAACAATTTCAATTTTCATTGGAAATTTATGTAAAAATAGTACAGGGTTACATTAAATATTCTTATATATATAACATACCTCCAGAGTTAGTTTTAATTTTCATTAGAATATTATTTTCAGTTTTTATTTTTTCTTTTCATTTACAATAATACTTTCAATGAATATATAAACAACTCTCTTCATCTCTTAACAAATTTCATATTTGTTTATGACATGATTAAGTGAAGTTAGTTTTATTCTATTTATTTAAATATTGATGTAAAATAACAAAAATAATTTTCAATCCATATATTTAAGTTCTATAAAATAATAGATGACTAGATTATTTTTTTAATGATCAAGTGTTTAAATCAAATTAATTAAAACGAATATTTAATTTGACTTTTGCACTTTATCTTGCTAATTTGACTTATTATTTTATTTTAATCAAAGTTTGCATTGTAACTTACCATTTTTTTAAGATGTGACTTACATTTATAAATTTATAATGGGTGATAATTCAGTATATTTATGCATGAAAATAAACAAATGAATGAAGTATGATTCAATTTTCTTTTTTTCTTTTTCATAATAAAATGATATTTTTACAGATGGAGAGATATTACATGGACTTTCACAAAGAAGATTTCTATAATAAAAATTAAGTTCTGGAGGCAGGCAAATACGTGAAGATTTGTGACGATATAGGTGCAAGGACAATCAATAATTTAAGGAGAATTTTGGAGGAGATCTAATCCGCAAAAGTGAATATGATCTTCACTCACTATAATTTTTAATCAATGCAAATGATCGAAGAGAGGATAGTTAATTTTTAATCAATGCAAATGATCGAGGAGAGGAAAATCATATTAATGCATGAGAGAAGAATCATATTTTTTCGTTATTGTAAATTAATGTGGCAGAGTTGAATCGTGATTTTTTTAATTGTAAAGTGATAGGATCAGAAATCAAAGTTTTTTAGATAAATGCAAGGGAGAAGAATAATAAAGTCACTAATATTTTTGTAGTATATTTTTGAATTAAGGGGTGAGAAGAATTATATATCTATAGAAATTTTATAAACCTAGATCATTCATATATATGAAATGGTATATAAAATAGAATAATCAAGTTGTTTTAATATTTGATATTGTACAATCAAAAATAATTTGGGCCAACCTGTGAATGACACGAGTTAAAATACTAATTTAACGAAAAGCATGCCTTAAAAAAGTAACGAAAAAGTTCAAACATGCCATGAATCAGATGTGTGAGATCTTTTTATACACTATTCTAAATTTATTGGTTTGAGAATGTTAGGATTTCTTTTTAAACACTCGTGTAAATTTATTGGGTTGAAAAAATATTAAATTAGTAGTACATTGTAAATTTATTGCTTCGATTATATGAAAAATGTGATTTTCTCTCTCTCACACATTAGTATGATTCTCCCCCTCATTGATTAAAATAATGATTCTTCTCTCTCGTATTATTAAAAATCTAAAAACATGGACTGACAATTCTACAATAAAAATTTAAAAAACATACAACAACAACAACAACCCAGTTAAATCCCACAAGAGTAGGGTCTGGGAAGGGTGTGTGTACACAGACCTTGCCCCTACTCGAAAGTAGAGAGGCTGTTTCCAAAGAGACCCCCAGCTCAACATAATAGTACAATTTTTGTTCTTCCTCGCATTAATTCAAAAAAATGTTAACACAATAAAAATTATCCAAAAAATATTTGATAGTTTTTTATTAATTTATTTTTTTTGCTTCCTTTGTCATTACAAAATCATTCAAACCTGTAAAAGTATTATGGACATTACAAATTTTAAATTTAAAATAAAAAAATTATAAAAATTTTCTTTACAGGTAAAGATTGCATCTTATTAATTATTTAAAAGTTTTGTGATACATGAAGAGGAAAAAAGATACAAAATTAAGAAAAAAATATTATTATAAAAATGAAGATTTCTCTTGTATAGTTAAATTTACTCAGTGAGCTCATCCCAAATTAATTTCTAAATTTCCATGTCATCAATTAGGTGTCAAAAAAGGCAAATACTCTGTAAGGAACATCACATACCAACATTCTAGAGATTGGAGTCTCATTTTTACGAAGTACTCCCCTGTATTTGTCCACTTTCAGTTTTGCACACCATTCAATGCACTTCTTTAATCCATTTTGTTTTGTAATTTGTATATTAAAAAATTATAAAAATTATATATTAATAATCTATATGTTAAGACAAATTAAACAAGATCACACATGACTATATTTAGGCTTACACATTGAGAGAATTTGATAAGTCAAAATGCTTAAATGAACAATTCCAAAAATCAAAAGTGGACGAATATAGGGGGACGGAGGGAGTACTACTTATATAAAGGATATTAAAATGTTCATGCTTCATTTGTCAGTTATTTATCATTAATTGTATTGTATCCTAAAACATGTTACAAATTCATTTTCATGCTTGAAGTCTTGACAATACGCACCAGAATGATTCTAGTTCACGTAACAAAATGAAGAAAAAAAGCATATATACCCCAAACTCCCAAAGTCATCACCAATTAAATTAAAATCAATCAAGCTTATAAAGTACAGAAGCTTACCAATTAGAACCAATCAAACTCCGTATTTAAGAACTTTAATTAGCTCAGGTGGGCAAACTGACCAGTGACAAAGACGAACTTCTTCGATCTCTGATTTCTGATCCGATGTTTCCTTTTCAGTAAAAGAGTTTCAATGAGGGAATGGAAGTGGATGGCAGCTCTTCTTGTCTCCATCTGAATTCTGAACAGAGGTAATTGTTTTAGGGAGATGTCTTTTTTTGTGCATATATTCAAACAAAGATCTTTGAGAAATTGTGATTCTTTGTGTGTTAAAAGTGATGTTCTTGACACGTAATCCTATGACTTGTTGTATGTTTCGTCTTAATTGCTTCAGATTTAGGCAACAATTTTCTGAATTCATGGGCAATAATTAATTGATATTTAAGATTGAATTGTTGCTTATAGCTTACTGGGTTTCAATCTTCATTAATGGCAAATAAAAACTGCAGAGATTATATATTTCTACAAAATCCTATCCAACCACACATAATCAATCCATAGATGAGCAATCTAAATGGTCCAGAATGTTACCAAAAGAAAGAAATAAAGAAGGCATAGCCTAAGAACATATAAGAAGAAAATGAGAAGATGGTGAGAAACTGAGTATAAAGAAGGAGACTCATTCTCACAACAGTCTCAATCCTGCCAAAACTCAATGGGAAACCTCTGAATTCCTGAAGAGTTTGAGTAGTCATTGTTTTCACTAGATCTTTTTCATGGTTAGAAAGCACACCAACTCTACTGAATAAATTGTTTAAAGCACTCCTTTGAGTAACAAAATGAAGAAAAAAGCAAAGCAAACTGAAAAATAGACAAAAGAACATATGGGAAGAAAACAATCAGTCACATTTATATGAGCCTTTTCATGGTTATAAAACACGCAAAAAAGTTGCTTCTTTTTTTCTCACGTAGATCACATTGCTTCACTTGATAACTAATGATAAAATACATGGTAACAGATGATACATAACCATTTATATCTTTGTCCAACTTCAAAACACAACTGAGAATGCTTATATATAGCGTATGCTTCTCCTCTTATGCCTACCCTCTCCGTTTCCTTGCAAAAGTCTTGACGAACCAATCGTGTTTTCTTGTGGTGAATTTGTTCCCAACTATCACTCCACCCACTAAACCACTGACGAATCCAATCAATATTATTATCCACTTCATTCTAAACTCATATTCTGAATCATCATCATCATCATCACCATCACTTGTAGTGGGTGGAGGATGCTGCAGTTGAGGCAAAGACCTTGCATTTCCGCACTGCTTATTCCAAGTTTCAATGAACAATCCAGGATTCCCTTCATAAGATTTGGCATCATAGGTACAGAACTGATTTCCTTGTGGTATGGGGCCAGAGAGATTGTTGAATGACACGTTAAATGATGAAAGAGGAGTGAGTTTTGTTAGCTCCATAGGAATGTGCCCTGAGAGTTGGTTTTGGGAAAGATCCAAACTCTCTAAACTTGTCAAGTTGGAGAAAGAAGACGGTATTTGACCGCTGAGATCGTTTCTAGAAAGATTTAGCAGCTGAAGCCCTGCAAGATATCCAAATGTTTCAGGTATCTGCCCTTCAAAATTGTTGGAGGAGAAATCGATGCCACAAAAAATATTTGGAATCTTCAAATAGTTCATTTCCAAACCCTTGTTATGCATGGTCAATGAGTAATCAAATGAGCCAAATTCTTCAGAATTCCAATAGCTAGGTGGATACAAATCTTGCTCCATGTATTCAAGTGGTCGACTTACATTGAGGGCTCTCATTGGATTCGGCGGATCAATGAACATTGATGGGAGTTTCCCTCTAAAATTATTGTTGGATAAGTCGATGACTTGAATATTTGAGAAACCAAAATCATCATTAATGACACCATGCAAACTATTTGATCGCAAGATAAGAATTTTCAACTCACTTGCTGTAACTAACCAGCCTGGAAAAGTATCAAATATTTGGTTGCTGCCAAAATCAATGAATTCCAGTAATGAACAGTTAGCTAATGACCTGGGCAATTGCCCTTGCAATTGATTTTGGCTCATACTGATCATTCTCAGTTGGCACCCATTTCTCCATGTTGACGGAATATTTCCCTCAAATTTGTTTCCTCTCAAATCCAACAACAAAAGATAATTGCTAAAATGGCTCAAACATTGGGGAAGCTTTCCACCTAAACTATTGAATGATAGGTCAAGATGTATAAGAGATGTGAAATTGCAAATGAGATGTGATACTTCACCCGATAAATTGTTGTTTGAAATTAGAAAAGAGGAAAAAGTGGAGGAATCGGGTGGTGGGATGGGGAGAGGTCCTTGTAGTTTATTATTTCTGAGGTCTAAAACTCTTATTTTAACCTGAGGATGAAAGAGAGGATGTTCTCGTTCAAAACCAGTTAGAAGGTTATAAGAGAGGTTCAAATAGAGACCCTCTACAGAGTTTTCACCGAGAGAAAAAATCCACGGAGGAATTTGACCCTTGAGACGGTTATTAGAAAGATCGAGAGCTTCCAATATATTTTTGCTGTTCTGCAAGAATGTGGGAAATTCAAGCAGATTGCATGAAGCCAATTCTAAAATATGTAAACTTGGAAAGCAGTAGTCATTTTTCAAACAAATGTTTTTTAGGCTCAACGATAAGTTATTATGTGACAATATTAATTCCTTTAAAATTTGGAGGTGAGAGAACAAGCTTAGATCCACCGAGCCAAACAATCTGTTATGCTGAAGTGAGAGAGTTGAAAGGTTACTTAGAGTGGATATATTTGTAGGAATAGAACCTTCCAAATTGTTATAGCAAAGATCCAAATGCTGAATTAGGTGATTAAAATTTGGTGGGATATGACCACTTAATTGATTGTGAGACAAGACAATGGAATTGAGTTGAGGGAGGGTCATGATCCAAGATGGGATTGGACCACTAAGTCGGTTATGAGACATAACTAGGTAAGTAAGTCGAGTGAGGTTCATGAGGGAAGAAGGTATCTCACCCGTCAAGTCCATGTTGTCAAGGGACAAATAAGTGAGCTTGGTGAGCTTACCAATCCACGACAATGAAGAAGTATCGAGAGTATCTGGGGTGAAGTTATTAGCACCTAAAGAAACGAGTTGGGTAAGATTACCGAGTGACGTCGGAAGGTCCCCTGCAAAATTGCAACCGCCGATGTCTAGTTCTTCCAAAGAGGAGAGGTTCCCAATGGAGGGAGGCAACACTCCCCCAAAACTTGTGTGAGAGAGCCGCAACGATTTAAGAGGACTCCCCGAACGGAAGCTGGGCAGATAGCCTCTGAGATCAGGGTTGCCGCTTAAATCGAGCATCTTGATGCTTGGGAGATTGAAAATGGCAGCGGGAAACCCACCCCTCAGCTGACATGAAGAAAGATGCAGATACTGTAAAGATGAGAAGTTTGAGAGGAAGTCGTGAGGTGGAGCTGAAGAAGAGAGGTCCACACGTGATAGATGGAGATGCTTCAAGTTGCTCATGTGTTGAACTAGTCCTTTCAGACTATGAAGTTCCAATTCAGAATATGAAGACAGATCAAGGGAAACCATAGTTGTGATATTGGAGAGGTGTTGTTGTGGGATTTGGCCAGAAAAGTTGGAACCAGACAAATTGAGATGAGTGAGACTGGAGAGGTTTCCGATTGCGGAGGGTATGTGAGAATAGTTGAAGTCATTGTAGGAGAGGTCCAACCTCTGGAGGTGAGTGAGGGTAAAGAGTGCATTGCTCGAGTTTACGGAACCATAGAGGCAACTGCCACTCAGGTGTAATCCGACGACATGGTGGTGATCATCACCACACTCCACGCCCTCCCACGAGCAGCAGTCGCCCCCTTCTTTCCATGATTCCAGTTTTCGTTTTTGATGAAAAACATCACTCCAATCACCATTATAGCATTCGTTGGTGCTGGCAAAGCTGTGCTTGAATTGGAGCAAGGCAGCCTTCTCTTCATCGTGGCATCGTCGTCTCGTCTTCTCCAAAGACGACACAGAGGGTGCCATAGAAGAGTGAGATGGGGATGAAGAAACCAACACCACCAGCGCCACCAAGTATAGGTGAAATATTATTGATATTGAAGACTCCATCTGTATGTATGGTTTTAAACTCTCTTTTTTTATAGATATGAGATAATAATACGGTACAAGCTAAGTGATAGAATAAGGCTATGATATATGTACCTGCGCAAAATGCACTAAGTGCCTCTTTTTCTACTTAAGCTTTTACTAGTGATAATGAAGAGAACTTAGACTAGTCAAACTTTCTACTTAGACTAGTCAAACTTTTTGCTATTCTTCGGCGCCTGTGAATTGTGATGCCCAATTCCCTTCTTTATCCTTCATGTCTTTTACTTGAATGTGTTCATTTATTCATGTTACCGAGTTTATTTATTTCTCCTTTCTAAAAAAAGAGAAAGGAGGAACATTGTTCTCCTTTGTCTCTCTCTATATATAGGCCAAATATTAAAAACGGAGGTTGATCAAAAAATGTCAAAATTGGACAGATACTCAAGAACACAAATAGTACCTTTCAAATGGGAAACAATCACATGACGGTGTTGCGTCTTCGACTAGTGCGTGTGAATTGTCTTGGTTTCTAGCTCTCTTTCTTTTGACTCCCTCTAGCTATATTTATAAAATTTGAACAAATTAATACTCCTTCTCTCTTAAAATAATGATTTATATTTTATATTATTACTATTTGTCTATTAATCTATTATGGTTCTCAATAACTTTGTTTGTTTTCATATTATATTTTCGTTTATTATTTGAAAAATAAAATATTCTTATTACTATTTGTTTTACATGGTGAGATGAGAGGCTTATGAGTGATGATGAAAAGATGAACAACAACAACCAGTAGAATGATGACAATGACTCCATAGTCAATAGTCACCCTTTTTCAATATTGTTGAAGACTCGTCGTGCAATCCAAAAGAAATTAAAAATTTATAAATAATCTTAGCTAACCTCCAAGATATATTCAAATAAAAACTATAGTTAGGGCAAGTAAGGGTCGATCCCACAAAGAAAGTTTGTACTTTTGAAATCAATTTAATTAGCATGCAAACAAGTTGTCACTAAATAAAACAAACTAACTACTATACATATTAGAACACTTATGACGAAAGAGTTTTAGTGGTAGTAAATTTCACTCCATAAGAGATCTATTTATTACTGTGTCGTATTCACGTGGATTGGCGTTAAAATAATTTTTTTATTAAAATGTAGTTAGGCAAAGTATACTCACTGGTGTTGGAAGTCTTCTAAATTCAAAAAGTTTAATTGATTTCTGTTTAATTGGGCAAAGTAGCAATTTGTTTGACAAAAGGGAACATGAATTGATTTCAAGTTGTAGACATTTCTTAGATAAATTAACTAGTTGGATAATTTTATTAATTAATTAATTGGGCTAGTGATTAGTTCTGTCACAACTATTCCATTAATTTATCCTATCTTTAGGCATAACAAATATATTCTTCTTTAAAAAAGCAAAAAATACCACTGTTATATATGATAGATAGACGCAGCAGCTTTAGCAGAGGAGTATGAATGCTGCAAAGATCGAGCTAAGGTTAAAAATGGAATACTCAATCCTCACAGCATACCACTGTTCATATATTTTTTTATAAATATTATGAGAGAAAAATACAATTGATAATACAGAGAAGGAGACCAAGTCAAACCATTTACTTTTTCCATTTTGGCAGCCCAACCAACTTCAATCTCAATTTTTCTCCTTTTTTTTTTGTACTTAGCACATCTCTACCTAACATGTAATGAATAAACGTAGGGATACACCAAAATGGGGTACCCCATTTGTAAACCCCAGTTCAAAGAGAGACAAACAGCCACTTAATTGTATGTGGATAGCACGCCCCAACATGTAATACCCCTAATACTCACATACTGTCAAGATGAGTGTGCTGTTTTGTGCGACTATACCCACTAAATCACATGCTTTGCTCACTATTAATTTAATCAAGACTGGGTCAACCTCCCAATATTATTGTCTGATTTGTCTCCTTTGATTCTAGACAAAACTTATTTTGCCCAAGAACTTTTTTTAATTTAGACAAAATATATCTAAAAAACAAATTAAATTTAATTTATTTAAAATTGATGTAAACTTAAAAATTAAATTATATTCCGTATATTTAAAAATTATATTAAATACTTTAGGCAGGATCTAAAATGACATCACTCATTTATACGCGGGTTAAGCACTAAAATAAATAAGAGTAAAACATTGAAAATAAACCAAAATAGAATTTATTTAGATACTCCGTATTAAATTAAAGGCAAAATTGACAAGAATACTCCCAGAAATTACAGATTTTACATAAATACTCCCAAATTCGTTTATTTACACCATTACTCCCACATTTCTCTTTTATTTACATCATTACTCCTAAATTTGGTAGTGATCATTAGTGTTACTTGGATTGGATGTGTCTTTTTTGCATTAAGTGAACAGTTAAAATGCGGACATGTAATTTTTTCACTCTAATATACCAAATTCACTCCAACTTATTCTTTCCATCGTCTGTCTCGCGTCTTAGTAAGCCTAATCATTGCCCTTATTTCCCATCACTTTTTTAAAAAATCCTCACAGCATACCACTGTTCATATATTTTTTTATAAATATTATGAGAGAAAAATACAATTGATAATCCAGAGAAGGAGACCAAGTCAAACCATTTACCTTTTCCATTTTGGCAGCCCAACAAACTTAAATCCCAATTTTGCTCCATTTTTTTTTTGTATTTAGCCCATCTCTGCCAAAACGTGGAGGACGAGGCTTGAAGAGTTTCTTGTTGAGTAGTTGTGGTCTGCGCCAAAACTGGAGAGCTTAGAAAATGGAAATGGGGAAAATCACAGTCCAAAACTGCAGATACATTCCGGTCACTGAGGTAATTAGTAATCACTCTTCCGGTCATTTTTTGAGTAATTTTTTGGATTGGTAGCTTTTAACCTTTCAGATCAGGTAGTTGATATACTTGATACGAGTATCTTTTACTAAAAACTATTTGAAATTTAATTGTTTTAAAAATTGATATAAACATAAAAATTAAATGTATATTCCGTATATTTAAAATTTATACTCGCACTAAATGTTTTAGACGAGATCTAAAATGACATCACTTACCTATACACTGGTTAAGGACTAAAATAAATAATAGTAAAACATTGATAATAAACCAAAATAGAATATATTTAGATACTCCGTATTAAATTAAATCCATTTAATAGAGTTGACGAGACCACAGTCTTCTCAGACTCATGATGCGCGCCATTGCTGCCGCCGAGAAGGAACTTGCCACCAATCAGAAGCAAGTCTCAACCCATAGTCGTGCTGCCTTTGCTCTTCTTCTCCCTGGATTCGCAACTACCGTCACATGTAGCAGCCGTCGTGCAAGAGGCCGGCCACCGTTTGCCAAGCAACTGGAGCTCATGAGGAGCGTTGTTGCTCTCTTTATTCTCCGATCTGACACACATGTCCATGTAAAAAGTCACACATACAAATACATAGTGTATACAATCATAATGACAAGCATAAGAATGCATAATACCACACTTGCCCTTATTTAATGAAAAACATGCCTATTAAATTAAATTTAAAAAAAGTAAAAGAAAAAGTTCAAACATGCCATGAATTAGATGTGTGAGGTCTTTTTATACACTATTCTAAATTTATTGGGTTGAGAACGTCAGGATTTCCTTTTATGCACTCGTGTAAATTTATTGGGTTGAAAAGTATTAAATTGATAGTACATTGTAATCGAATCAATATCACTAAAAAAGGTAAATTTATTGGGTTCATCTCAAATTTGAAAGCTAATACATTCTTGTACATTGCACGAATTGAGCGATATTGTTTCGATTATATGAAAAATATGATTTTTTTTATCTCACACACTAGTATGACTCTCCCCTCGCATTGATTGAAACAATGATTCTTCTATCATGTATTACTAAAAATCTAAAAACATGGATTAGCAATTCTACAATAAAAAAATTAATTTAAAAAACATAATAGTACAATTTTTCTTTTTCCTCGCATTAATTCAAAAAATTGTAAATATAGTAAAAATACTATTGGTCTTGTGATCCCGAAACAAAATTTACAAAAAAATATTTGACAGTTTTTTATTTATTTATTTTTTGCTTCCTTTGTAATTACAAAATCATTAAAACACGTGTAAGTATTATGGACATTACAAAATGTTTTAAATTTAAAATAAAAAATTATAAAATTTTCTTTAGAGGCAAAGAGTGTATCATATTAATTATTTAAAAGTTTTGTTGTACATGAAGAGGAAAAAAGATACAGAATTAAGAAAAAATAGTATTATAAAAATGAAGATTTCTCTTCTATAGTTAAATTTACTCAGTGAGCTTCTACCAAATTAATTTCTTACTTCCCATATCATAAATTATATAGGTGTCAAAAAGAGGCATAAACAACATCACATACCAACCTTCTAGAGATTGGAGTCTCATTTTTACAAAGCATTTAAAGGATATTAAAATGTTCATCCTTCATTTGTCATTTATTTATCTATGAAGTACAATGTACTTAATTGTATTTTATCCTAAAAAATGTTACAAATTTATTTTTATGCTCTTTATAAAATGATTTTGATGTATAAAGTTACATATAACTTGAAGTCTTGGACAATACACACGAGCATGATTCTTAGTTCAGTAACAAAATGAAGAAAAAAAGGATACCCCAAAGTCATCACCAATTAAAATCAATCAAGCTTATAAAATACACAAGCTTACCAATTAGAACCAATCAAACTTACTCCTTCTGTCCCATTTTAAATTACTTGTTTTCTTTTTTTCTCCGTCCGAAAGTTAGTTGCATGTTTCTTGTTATCATAAACTTTTAAGAGTAAAATACCTAAACTACCCTTAAAATAATTCACTTTTTTCCACTTTATCATCTCATTTATCGTCACCACTCCTAAAAAGTAATGGCAATTTCGAAAAGTCAACTCTATTTTTTTCTTCATTAAATATGCTCTAATGTCAAAACGGGCGATTTAAAACGGGGCGGTGGGAATAGTATTTAAGAACTTTAATTAGTTCAGGTGAATAACAATCACTTGTTTGTACTATAAAGAACATATTGAAATAAAATGAGATGAGCATAAAGAATATGACCCATTTCCACAACAACATCAATGCCATAATTAGTAGTCATTATTTATCCCTTCAGAATCTGATCAGCGTAACAATAAAGAATGGGCTAAATTATTTATTCAACTATCTTGAATCGTGCCTTCCAATGGGTTTCGAAGATCCAACTTTTACATATTGGCCCCTATAAAAATTTGGGTCAATTCATGAACGTCATTAAATTCTCATTTTAAATGATTTTATATTTTAAAAACCTTACTGATCCGAGTAATAAATACTAATTTAATCGATTGATGACAATTATACTGACTACCCAATACCATTTATCTTCAGAGCAACTACTAAAAAATTATGAATCTAAGTTTCGTTTTTTATTAAATCAGCTAAATCAAGATATGTATGTAACTAAATATTTCTACTCTAAATGTAAGATCATCCCTCCATCCTAAAATGATCTTTTCAGACACTATTTACATGGTCAAATTATAATCACTTTCGCTATCTATTTTCGTTAGTTATTTGGTAAAATAATAATATAGCCATGTTACTTTTTGTTTTGTAAACCTTTTGATGTAGTTTTAAAATGTATAATTTTTTTAAGTTTACACCTATAATCAAACCGGACTGGGAAGATCATTTTAGAACGGATGAGGTATAAGAATAGCATATTAAATCATTATTAAATAAATAAGGTCAACTTCTTTGTCTTCAATTTGTTAATTTTGAAGTTTTATAAGCTATAAGGTATTTTCTTCTTTTTTTTCCGTATGAAATCTATACAATAAATGAGAAGAACATTGAAATTTTTGAATATTTCGAATTTGGAGTTCATGTTTTTTTGAAAAAAAATACTTGAAAGGATATGGCCTTATCGGATTTGAACCAATGACAAATTTAAACTTAAATTTTATATTTTGAAATTTAAACTTAAAATTTTCAAACTTAAAATTTAAAATTCCAAATTATAAATTATAAATTATAAATTAAAATTTTAAAAATTGAAATTTAAAAATTTTAACATTAAATTATAAATGAAAAACTAAAATTAAAAATTCGGTAAGCACATCCTACCAACAAAACTCATACCAACGATAAATAGCTAAAAGCCCAAAATACAATTTTATATAAACAATTTTGTGCTACCAAACAAAGATGTGGAATTATAATAGAATATAATTCTATATCAATTCTCTAATTATAACTATTAAAGAATTTGAAATTGAATTAGAATTCAATTTTATGCAATTCAATTCTATGAAAGTTAAATTTCAATTCCATGTATCAAATGAAGATAGGGACCAGGTATGTTTTACTCCTCTTTCACTAATATCCCTAGTCTTTCTTCTTCTACTACTTTCTTATAATGTGTTTGAAATGGAAACAGAGACAAATGTATTCCCACTGTTGACGAATTAGAGACAGATTTTGGTTGGGTGGGTCATCGTCCCCGGCACACTTACAGGTGACAAAGACGAACTTCATCCATCTCCGATTTCTTCTTCGATGTTTCCTTACCAGTAAAATAGTTCCAATGTGGGAATGGAAGCGGATGGCAGCTCTTCTGGTCTCCATCTGAATTCTGAACAGAGGTAACTGTTTTAGGGAGATGTCTTTTTTTGTGCATACTAGTTCTCTAACGTGTGCGTTGCACGGACAGTATTTTGAATTAGTGAAAGAAATTAAAAAATAAATTTATAGTGTATATAAAGACAGCACAACGAAATTGTATTCAATATAAACATTAAAAGTATTACGGAGTATATACTAATATTGAGGAATCCATAGTGAAGACAAAAACGAAATTAAAAGTTTTGAAAGACTTCCTTGTACACTATATTTTAAATCAACTTAAAATAAATGCTGAAGAAAAATGGCGTACAGTAACATAATCAATTAAAATGTCAAGTCAATGTGAGGTACCCGACAGTTAATATATTTAATTATTACTTTTCCATAAGTATTTATTTAAATTATTATACTTTTTCATAAATTTTTATTATTTCCTATAAACCTTTATACTTTCTCATAGTGTGTTTATTTAAGCTATACTTTTCAAAAAACTTTAACTCTTTCCTATAAACTTTTACACTTTCCCATAAAGTATTTATTTAAGTTACACTTTCCCATGTACTTTACTCTTTCTAAAAAAAACTTTTACCCTTCCCCATAAAGTAATGATGTCTTTACATTGGAATACCTGAAAAGAGTGGTGAGAAAGTAATGATATTTTCACATTGGAAAACGTGAAAAGAGTGGTCAAGCAAAGAACTTTGAGAAATTGTGATTCTTCGTGTTAAAAGTGATTATAAGATTGAATTGTTGCCTATTCTTCGTGCACTTTGGAGACCAGAGTATTATAGTGCGATCATTTTAGGTGTTATGAACAAACTGGACAAACTTTGAACTCCAATTACTCTTAATTAATATTACATCTGAACATAATGAAATACAATTTTAAAAGTTCTCAATAGGATAAATCCAATAAAGTCATTTTTATGTTAAAATACATTACGAATTTTATTTAATTGAAACTGAAAGTTTGTTCTATTTGACACGAAAAATTCAAACTGAATAAATACACTGTGACGGAAGAAGTACTAATTTAATCAATGATAATTATACTGGTTGCCCAATACCATTTATCTTCAGAGCAACTACTAAAAAGTTATGAGTCTAAATTTCATTTTTTTATTAAACCAGCTAAATCAAGAGTCTTTTTTAATGCTCAATATGTATGTAATTAAATATTAGATCCTCCCTCCATCCTATAATGATTTTCTCAGACATTATTTACATGGTTAAGCTATAATCACTTTTGTTATCTATTTATGATAGTTATTTGATAAAATAATAATATAGTCATGTCACATCTTGTTTTTTAGACCTTTTGATGTAGTTTTAAAATATATAATTTTAATTTTTAATTTTACACTTATAATCAAATAAATTGAATTGAAAATAATTTCAGTCAAATCTCGTAAACTGGACTAGGAAGATCATTTTATGACGGATGAGGGATAAGAATAGCAGATTGAATCATTATTAAATGAATAAGGTCAACTTCTTTGTCTTCAATTTGTTAATTTTGAAGTTTTATAAGTTATAAGGTATTTTCTTCTTTTTTTCGGTATGAAATCTATACAATAAATGAGAAGAACATTAAAATTTTTGAATATTTCGAATTTGGAGTTCATGTTTTTTTTAAAAAGATATATTTGAAAGGATGGCCCCTTATCGGATTTGAACCAACGACGAATTTAAAATTTGAAATTTGAAAATTGAAATTTAAACTTAAAATTTCAAACTTAAAATTTAATATAAATTGAAATTTGAAATTTTAAAAATTAAAATTTAAAAATTACTCCCTCTGTCATCTTTCCAGACACTATTCACAGTGTCAAACTTTACTCATTTTGTTTGTTCATTTTTACTAGTCATTTCATAAAATAATATAGTCTTGTCACCTCTAGTTTTGTAGAACTTTTCATGTAGCTTATTACTATATAAATTTTATTTTAAAATTTTACTCTTATAATTAATTAAATTGAATTGAAAATAAAGTCGGTCAAGGTCTCATAATGCCTAATGTGATATGTTACATGCCTAATGTGATATGTTACATGGAGGAAGGGAGTAAAATTTTAGACACAGATGTTGGTTGGGTGGGTCATCGTCCCGGGCACACTTACAAGTGACAAAGACGAACTTCATCCATCTCCGATTTCTTATTCGATGTTTCTTATCAGTAAAATAGTTGCAATGTGGGAATGGAAGCGGATGGCAGCTCTTCTTGTCTCCATCTGAATTCTGAACAGAGGTAATCAAACAAAGATCTTTGATAAGGTGTCATTTTTTGTGTTAAAAGTGATGTTCTTGAGACATATACCTAGACTTTATGTTTTGAGGTACTCCGTATGTTTCTTCATAATTGCCTTAGATATAAGCAACAATTTTCTGAATTCATGGAATCATGGGCAATAATATATGTGTGTGTGTGTGTATGATTGAATTGTTGCTTAATTAGATTTAACTGGGTTTTAATCTTCATTGGGGATGAAATTTAATGGCAAAAAAAAAACTGCAGTGAGTATAAATTTCTACAAATCCCTATCCAACCACACATAATTAATCCATAGAGTTTAAGCAGTCATTGTTTGCACACATGAAAGATCTCTGTTTTCACATGAGCTTTTTCATGGTTAGAAAGCACACCAACTCTGCTGAACAAATTGTTTAAAGCACTCCTTCGAGTAACAGAATGAAGAAAAAAACAAAGCAAACTGAAAAATAGACAAAAGAGCATACGGGAAGAAAACAATCTGTCTCATTTATATGAGCCTTTTCATGGTTATAAAACACACAAAAAAGTTGCTTCTTTTTTTCTCACGTAGATCACATTGCCTCACTTGATAATTAATGATAAAATACATGGTAACAGATGATACATTACCATTTATTTCTTTGTCCCACTTCAAAACACAACTGAGAATGCTTATATATAGCGTATGTTTCTCCTCTTATGCCTACCCTCTCCGTTTCCTTGCAAATGTCTTGACGAGCCAATCGTGTTTTCTTGTGGTGAATTCGTTCCCAACTATCACTCCACCCAGTAAACCACTGACGAATCCAATCAATATTATTATCCACTTCATTCTAAACTCATATTCTGAATCAACATCATCGTCTCCACCATCAAATGTAGCGGGTGGAGGCTGCTGCTGCAGCTGAGGCGAAGACCTTGCATTTCCGCACTGCTTATTCCAAGTTCCAATGAACAATCCAGGATTCCCTTCATAAGATTTGGCGTCATAGGTACAGAACTGATTTCCTTGTGGTATGGGGCCAGAGAGATTGTTAAATGACACGTTAAATGATGAAAGAGGAGTGAGTTTTGTTAGCTCCATAGGAATGTTCCCTGAGAGTTGGTTTTGGGAAAGATCCAAACACTCTAAACTTGTCAAGTTGGAGAAAGAAGACGGTATTTGACCGCTGAGGTAGTTTCTAGAAAGATTTAGCAGCTGAAGCCCTGCGAGATTTCCAAATGTTTCAGGTATCTGCCCTTCAAAATTGTTGGAGGAGAAATCGACGCCACAAAAAATATTTGGAATCTTCATATAGTTCATTTCCAAACCCTTGTTATGCATGGTCAATGAGTAATCAAATGAGCCAAATTCTTCGGAACTCCAAAAGCTAGGTGGATACAAACCTTGCTCCATGTATTCAAGTGTGCGACTTACATTGAGGGCTCTCATTGGATTCGGCGCATCAATGAACATTGATGGGAGCTTCCCTCTAAAATTATTGTTGGATAAGTCGATGACTTGAATATTTGAGAAACCAAAATCATCATTAATGACACCATGCAAACTATTAGATCGCAAGATAAGAATTCTCAACTCACTTGCTGTAACTAACCAAACTGGAAAAGTATCAAATATTTGGTTGCTGCCAAAATCAATGAATTCCAGTAATGAACAGTTGGCTAATGACCTGGGCAATTGCCCTTGCAATTGATTTTGGCTCATACTGATCATTCTCAGTTGGCATCCATTTCTCCATGTTGACAGAATATTTCCCTCAAATTTGTTTCCTCTCAAATCCAACAACGAAAGAGAATTGCTAAACTGGCTCAAACACTGGGGAAGCTTTCCACCCAAACTATTGAAGGATAGATCAAGATACCTAAGGGATTTGAATTTGCAAATTAGTTGTGATACTTCACCCGATAAATTGTTGTTTGAAATTAGAAATGAGGAAAAAGTGGAGGAATAAGGTGGTGGGATTGGGAGAGGTCCTTGTAGTTTATTATTTCTGAGGTCTAAAACTCTTATTTTAACCCGGGGATGAAAGAGAGAATGTTCTCGTTCAAAACCATTTAAATGGTTATGTGAGAGGTTTAAATAGAGACCCTTTTCAGAATTTTCACCGAGATAAAAAATCCACGGAGAAATTTGACCCTTGAGGCGGTTATTAGAAAGATCGAGATCTTGCAATATATTTTTGTTGTTCTGCAAGAATGTGGGAAATTCAAGTAGATTGCATGAGGCCAAGTTTAAAACCTGTAAACTTGGAAAGCAGTAGTCATTTGTTGAACTAATATTTTTTAGGCTCAATGAAAAGTTATTATATGACAATTGTAATACCTCTAAAATTTTGAGGTGAGAGAACAAGCTTAGATCCACCGAGCCAAACAATCTGTTATGCAGAAGTGAGAGAGTCCAAAGATTAGGGAGAGTGGATATATTTGTAGGAATACAACCTTCCAAATTGTTATAGGAAAGATCCAAATGCTGAATTAGGTGATTAAAATTTGGTGGGATATGACCACTTAATTGATTGTGAGACAAGTCAATGGAATTGAGTTGAGGGAGGGTCATGATCCAAGATGGGATTGGACCACTAAGTCGGTTATAAGACATATCTAGGTCAGTAAGTCGAGTGAGGTTCATGAGCGAAGAAGGTATCTCACCCGTCAAGTACATGTTGTATAAACCATTGAGCTTGGTGAAGAGATTAGCACCTGAGATGTGTAAATAAACAAGTTGGGTAAGATTACCGAGTGACATCGGAAGGTCCCCTGTAAATTTGCAATAGCCGATGTATAGTTCTTCCAAAGAGGCAAGATTCCCAATGGAGGGAGGCAACACTCCCCCTAAACTTGTATCATAGAGCCGCAACGATTTAAGAGGACTCCCCGAACGGAAGTTGGGCAAATAGCCACTGAGATCAGGATTGTCACTTAAATCGAGCATCTTGAGCCTTGGGAGATTGAAAATGGCAGCGGCATTGCTCGAGTTTACGGAACCGAAGAGGCAACTCTGGCTCAGGTCTAATCCGACAACATGATAATGATCATCACACTCCACACCCTCCCATGAGCAGCAGTGCCCCCCTTCTTTCCATGATTCCAGTTTTGACGAATTACATTGGTTGGTGCTGGGAAAGCTGTGCTTGAATTGGAGCAAGGCAGCCTTCTCTTCATCGTGGCATTGTCTCGTCTTCTCCAAAGACGACACAGTGTGTGCCTGCAGCCCCACCACCGCCATGTATAGGTGAAATATTATTGATATTGAACACTCCATCTCTATGTATGGTTTTAAACTCTTCTTTTTTTATATGAGATAATAATACAATACAAGCTAAGTGATAGAATAAGGCTCTGATATATATATGTAGACCCACGCAAAATGCACTAAGTTAGACTAGTCAAACTTAAACTTTTAGTCATAGTTTTCAGAACCGGACCGATGACCGAACCGGTCAAGGTACTGGTTCACTAGTCGAACCAGTGGTTCAACTGGTCGAACCGGTGGTTTAAACATATTTAAAAATTAAATAAATAAATTATATATATATATATATAAACACATACATATAGACACACACACTTTCTCATTTATAAATATCTAAAGAAAATATATTATAACATTTGACTAAAATTATATTAAAATATTTGAGTTATTTTACTAAGTTAAAAAATAAAATTTACATATTAGAAAAAGAATATTTAAAATTTTATAAATGAAGACTTGATTTTATTTTTTCAAATAAGTTGTTTAATATTAAAAACGCTCAAATAAAATATTTGCATGATATTCATTTTGTAATAATACCAATAGCTAGTATCAATGATTTTGTGTTTGATTCATAGCTATGTAATATTATATTTTTAAAATTAAAAAGGAATTTTTATACAATCCTTTTTTGATTATGAAATATTATAAAAGATTAAGTGAAATTGTAACAAAAACATCCTTGCTTTGATGGTTAGAAACTCAACCAAATGTCTACAAGGTCTTAGGTTCAAACCCCCATGGTTGCATGTTTTGGAAAAAATTGTTAAAAAAAAAAACTAGTTTGGCCGGTCGAACCGGCCGGTTCCCACCGGTCCGCACCGGTTTTTAAAACTATGCTTTTAGTACTGACAATGAAGAGGAACTCAGACTAGTCAAACTTTTTACTATTCTTCAGCGCGTGTGAATTGTGATGCCCAATTCCCATCTTTATCCTTCATGTCTTTTACAAGTATTTATTCATTTATTCATGTTACTGAGGCCCCGTTTGGTACACGGAATTCAAATCATGGAATTGGAATTGAGGACTTCAATTCCAATTCTGGTGTTTGGTAGTACAAAAATTATGTGGATTTAGAATTGATAGTGCAAAAAATGAATTGGAAGAGTTCAATTCTATGGAATTGAATCCAATGGAATTTCAATTCCAATTCAATTTCAATTCCATCAATTCCGTATACCAAACGGACCCTGAGTTTATTTATTGAAATATTTCTCCTTTCTTAAAAAAGGCAGAACGGCCGCCCGCGCCTTCGCCCCCTCATTCTGACCCGATAGAATTGTGAGGGTTAAATCACGTTATAATTTTTGTTTGATTCTTAGAGAGGTCACCCTAGATGTAGTGTGCACAAGAAGTTATTATAACTGTTTCTTCATTTTATATTACGAGGGGAAGAAATTTAGTCAATTACAAAAATACAAACCCTTCATCTCCCCTAGTGTATTCATTTTGATGAAAAAATAGTTAAACTATAGAAGATTTATACCGTCAAAGTATATGTTGATTTATAATCTCAAAAAAAATATTAGAAAATATCAAAATATCAAATTATCGCATTTCATGGAGATAAGGGATGTATTGAAACAATAATTTAAGTGAAGAAAAACGAGTCAAATGTATATTTCGTCTGTTTCTGAGTATTTTGTCCACATTTAGTTTTTTGGTCAAAATTGATAAAAATTGGTAAATTTTAGCTTTTATATATATATATATATATATATATATATATATATATATATATATATATATATATATATATATATATATATATACTAGTATTTCTACCCGTGCCACGCACGGGTTCAGACGAATTTTTTTTCAATTTTACAATGTGGATGTTGATTTTTATTTGGCATATTATTTAAAGGTTAAATATAAATGATCTAGATTTTATGTATTTCTACAAATCTATAATCTTTCTCCCTGTATGAATTCAAAAATATATTAATACAAAAAATATTAGTGATCCAATGATTCTCTTTCCTCACATTAATTTTAAAAACCTAAATTAGCGACCTTATAATTATTTACTACCTTTGTCCCTAAGCATTTGTTCACTTTTAACTTTTTTTAGTCAAAATTGGTAAAATTTGACTTAAATTAAAAATAATAACATTAGATATTGATACACAATTGGTTGTATTTGATTTATTATATCATTCATTTTCAAAATATTATTTTATCTACCTAATATATAATATATATTTTATTTAATTATAAGTCAAATATTGAAAATAATTTCTCGGAAAAAATCAAAACTGAACAAATACTTAGGAACGGAAGTAGTAATTAAAAAATAGGATTCTTCTCATCCATAATCCCAACTACCCCCCTCCCGCAATGATTATAAAAAACTATTATTCTTTCTTGCATTACTAAAAAACAAATCTTAAATTAGTGATTCTAGATCTCTATGATTAAAATAAATTAAGAATCAATTATTCTTCTTCCCTACATTGATTTTAAAAAACATTAAAATGTTAGTGGTCCAATGATTTTTTCAGGATATCATTCTGGTCAAAATATAAAATGTTTTATCAAAATATAAATACTTAATTAATATTTTTCAAGTGAATATCATGTTAAACATAAAAATTTGATACGAGAGTAATCCAAAAAGACTTTTCTAACCTTCACTATCGAGTCAACCATTAGTTAAGCAAAAGGGGCCAAAAGACTAACAAATACTCGGAAGTCTCTCGTTGACTTTAGTCAATGCCTCACTTTTGACCAGTGATGGTCTCGAAGGGTTTTGTTTGTTTTGTTGACAATTTTGATGTTGAAAATTATTTACTCATATAAATTCTTTTTATCTCATAATCTTCGCCTAATGGAACAAATTTAGAATATCAAATAAAATTGATTTTTATTTCAAAAATTATGTACCTCAATATGAAATATAATATGATAAAATAATGTTTTTGTAATATTAATTACTCTACTATTGTAGGATCAAATTAGATTGCTATTGGAGAATGTTATACTATTTTTTTTCTTATTACTCCTTTTTAGACTTTGTTCTTTTGGATAGAAATTTCAGAATTAGATGTTATAAGAAATTGGAACGAGTTGGAAAAAATTAAAAGAGTAGGAAAATGTTAGAATAATTTAAGTATTAAAAGATAACTCAATTAAATGAACATCCAAATAAATATATAAGAAAACTCTAATTTTGGATGAAAAAGGCAATTTACTATTGTCCGTGTTTGAAGTGACATGTTATAAATTTAGTTTTATAACGTTATTCTATTTTCATCATATATAAATACCTTGTTTTAAGACATTGTTGGAAGGATTGGAAATAGTTGAAAAACATTTAAAAGTTAATTTTTCCAACTCAAAATAACATACCCTTAGTGTATAGACTTTCTTTTTTAAATGGTTTTACAAGATATCGTATTGTTATGGCAATTGTTTTTTTAAAAAAATTATATTTAAATTATTTACATCATTTATAATACTGTTGTATATATGATATATCTAAAATTCATAAAAATTAAAAGAATTGATAATTTTAACATAAACTTTGATGTTTTGTTTTTTGTTTTTTTGAGACAAATTTAGTCTAATACATCAAAATGCAATGTAAACGTGCAACAAGCTGTGTCGCTAACTCTTTTTCAATGTAAAATGTAAGGGCTGATATGAATTTTTAAGTGTTTTAAAAAATGAAGCACATAACCCATTTGGCCGACCCAAATGCAAGGATGATAAATCATGAACATTGAGGCCATGTTCTCTTCACTTTATTTGAAAGGTTTCACATCTAAATGGAATAAGTTCTTATTTAATTTTACTTGAATATGGTTATATTTATAACCATTTCTAGACATTATTCCTCCCACTAGTCAATATTAAAGTACTATTTATGAAATAAAAAAATTTAAGTCCTACATTAGAAAATGATTCAGGTTATAATTCTATTTATTGCAAATTTCACCAATGCTAATTCAATTCTAAGATTCAATGCCAAATAAAAACGGCAGAGAGTGTAAGTTTGTATGAAGCTCCATCCAACCATCATCTACGTACAATTGACAGAAAAAAAACACATAAAAATTCCAGAAGTAACAATTTAATGCAAAGTGACAACATAGGATGATATTGTTCAAACGAAAACAAGATAATGTCCTAAGATTGGGACATAATAATCCACATGAATGATTTCTGTTTACATACTGTATGAGCTTTCAAAGTTCTCTTTAAGTTTCAAGCACAACTTAGAATGCTTGTAGCAGGCTTCTCCTCGATCTCACGAACACCATCTATCGCCGTTTCCTTGCAAAAGTCTTGACAAACCAATCGTGTTTTCTTGCAGCCAACTCGTTCCCGCCGACCACTCCAACAACCAAACCACATGCGAATCCCATCGAACGCATCGTCCACCTCATTTTTAAGTAAGATTCTGAGTCGTATTCATCGTCATTTTCATCGTCGTCGTCGTCACCATTTGTAACGGATGGAGCCTGCAAAGACCTCGCATTTCGACATTGCTCGCTCCAAGGTTCAATGTACAGTCCGGGATTCCCTTCATATGAGGTGCAGTCATAGTTAAAGAACTGGTTTCCATGTGGTATAGGGCCAGAAAGATTGTTAAATGACACATCAAATGAGGTGAGATATGTGAGTTTTGTGATCTCTGTAGGAATATAGCCTTGCAATTTATTAGAGGAAAGGTTCAACTTCTGAATTTGGTGATTAAAACTGGATGGAAATTGACCGGTAAATATATTGTGAGACAAGTCAATAGATTTGAGCTCTGGGAGCTTCATAAGCGAAGGTGGGATCGGACCAGTAAGTCGATTATGCTGCATATCTAGCTCAGTAAGTTGAGTGAGGTTCACGAAGGAAGATGGGATTGGACCCGTAAGTCGATTATCACTCATATCTAGGCGAGTAAGTCGAGTGAGGTTCACGAGCCAAGACGGGATCTCACCCTTCAAGTCCATGTTTCCGAGATACACTTGAGTGAGCTTGGTGAGCTTGCCAATCCAAGACAGTGAACTAGTCGTGAGACTATCGGGGCTGAAGTGATTACCTTCCCAAATAATAAAAGAAACAAGTTGGGTAAGATTACTGAGTGACATCGGAAGCTTCCCTGTAAAACTGCAACGAGAGATGTCTATATGTTCCAAAGAGGCAAGATTTCCAATGGAGGGAGGCAACACTCCTCCAAACCGTGTTCCAGAGAGCAGCAGAAATTTAAGAGGACTCCCTGATCGGAAGTTGGGCAAATTCCCTTTGAGATCATAATTCTGGCTTAGGTCGAGCATCTTGAGCATTGGGAGATTAAAAATGGCCGCAGGAAACTCACCCTTCAGGTCACAATAAGAAAGATCCAGAGACTCTAATGATGAGGAATCGGAGAGGAGGTCGTGAGGTAGAGGTGAAGAAGAGAGGTTGACGTGTGACAGAAGGAGCACCTTCAAATTGATCATGTGTTGAACCAGTCCTTTCAGGCTGCCAAGTTCCAAACCGTCGTTATAAGTGAGATCAAGGGAAACCAAAGTTGTTATATTGGAGAGTTGTGGTTGTGGGATTTGGCCAGAAAAGCTCGAAGCGAAGAGGTTGAGATGGGCGAGGCTTGAGAGGTTCCCAATTGCGGAGGGTATGTGGGAAGAGTTGAAGTCATTCTGCGAGAGGTCCAGCCTCTGGAGGTGAAGGAGGGTAAAGAGGGAGCTGTTGGAGTTCATGGAACCATAGAGGCAACTGCGACTCAGGTCTAATCCGACGACATGACCAAGATCATCACCATCTTGTTCGTCGCACTCCACACCCTCCCACGAGCAACAATCGACCCCTTCTTTCCATGATTCAAGCTTTGGGGGACCATCGTCTCGATCCCAACAACGATTGGTTCTGAAAAACGCGTGCTTGAATTGGAGCAACGCAGCCATCTCATCATCACGACAACATTTCGTGTACAATGATGATGATGATGATGGGGAGGAGGAGTGGATGAATGCCTCCAAAGAAGCATGAGAGATGAGTGATAATGAAAAGATGAACAACAACAACAAGTAGAATGATGATGATGACGACGACGACTCCATACTCACACCCACAAAACTTCTATTCTTTAACAAACACCACTGATATATGATAGATAGAAGCAGAAGCTTTAACAGAGGAGTATGAATGCTGCAGAGATCGAGCTAAGATTAAAAATGGAATACTCAATCCTCACAGCATACCACTGCTCTTTTTTTTTAATATTATGAGACAAAAATACAATTGATAATACAGAGAATGATGATGATGACGATGATGACGATGACGACTCCATACTCACACCCACAAAACTTCTATCCTTCCGTTCCACTGTTTTTGTCCACCTACCTTTTGGCACACCATCCAATGCACTTCTTTAATCCATTTTATCTTATAATTTGTATATTAAAAAAATTATAAAAATTATATATTAATAATCTATATGTTAAGACGAATCAAACAAGATCACACATGACTATTTTTAGGCTTACACATTGAGAGAATTTGATGAGTCAAAGTGCTTAGATGAACAGTTCCAAAAGTCAAAACTGGACAAAGACAATGGGACGGAGGTAGTATTTTTTAACAAACACCACTGATATATGATAGATAGAAGCAGCAGCTTTAACAGAGTATGAATGCTGCAGATATCGAGCTAAGATTAAAAATGGAATACTCAATCCTCACAACATACCACTGTTCATATTTTTTTATAAATATTATGAGAGAAAAATACAATTGATAATACAGAGAAAAGAGACCAAGTCAAACCATTTACTTTTTCCATTTTGGCAGCCCAACCAACTTCAATCCCAATTTGTCTCCATTTTTTGTATTTAGCCCATCCCTACCTAACATGTAATGAATAAACCTAGCCTACAAGTAGACCAACCAAAATGAAATATCTCATTTGTACACCCGACAAACAATTCAAACACAGACAAACATAGTCACTTAATGTCTGTAGATAGCATGCCCCAACCTGTAATACCCCCTAATACTCACATACTGTCAAGATGTGTGTGCTGTTTTGTACGATTATACCCACTAAATCACATGTTTTGCTCACTATTAATTTAATCAAGACTGGGTCAACATCCCAATATTGTCTCCTTTGTTTCTAGACAAAACTTATTTTGCCCAGGTACCTTTTTTTATTTAGACAAAATATATTAGGGAGTTTATTTTTTTAATGACCCCACGAAAAAAACAATTCCTAATTTTTTAATTTGGATTGTTTTAAAATTTCTTCTCAATACCTTTCATGAGAAGCATTTTATCAACCACAACTCAGTTAGTTCTTTTATGAGGAGGAAGTATTTATTTATTCATTTTATAATATGGAAGGGAGAAGACGGAGTCCACTTTGAATTCTTTTCCATTTTACATCATTAAAATTTATTAGTATGTAAAATGCTAAGGTAGGATTCTTTTAACCTTGACCCCGCTTTGTCATTTTGAGACACCTATAGTTCTCCGGTAAAGGTTCTTACTCCCTAACCTCCTGCCCCCCATTGGCGATTTGAGAATTGGGATGGGGTGCAGTAGGGTTTCATGAGATTAGGATTAGGAACCATCAATTTTACCACTAAAAAATTAATCGGTCAACAAAATCATGGTGAAAATACTAACATTAACTACAAAAGATATTGCCAAAATTGCTCTAAATTGAAGTAATTTTACCACTTTGTGGAGGACGAGGCTTGAAGAGTTTCATACGAACTTGTTGAGTAGTTGTGGTCTGCGCCAAAACTGCAGAGCTTAGAAAATGGAAATGGGGAAAATCACAGTTCAAACCTGCAGATACATTCCGGTCACTGAGTTAGTAATCACTATTCCGGTCATTTTTTTGAGTAATTTTTTGGATTGGTAGCTTTTAACCTTTCAGATCAAGTAGTTGATACGAGTATATTTTACTAAAAACTATTTTAAATTTAATTTATTTAAAAATTAAAAATTCCGGATTTGGAGTTCATGTTTAAAAAAAATACTTGAAAGGATAGCCCCTTATTGGATTTGAACCAATGACAAATTTTAAATATTAAATTTATATTTTTAAATTTAAACTTAAAATTATCAAACTTAAAACTTAAAATTCAAAATTATAAATTAAAAATTGAAATTTTAAAAATTAAAATTTAAAAATTTGAAATTTAAAAATTTTAACATTAAATTAAAAATGAAAAACTAAAAATTCCGTAAGCAACCAATTCCACTAAACTCACACCAACGATAAATAACTAAATGCCCAAAATATAATTTTATATAAATAATTTTGTGCTACCAAACAAAGGATGTCGAATTATAATAGAGTATAATTCTATATCAGTTCTTAAATTATACCTAGTAAAGAATTTGAAATTGAATTAGAATTCAAATTGTATGCAATTCAATTATATGAAATTTAAGTTTCAATGAATGAAGATAGGGAATGTTTTACTCCTCTTTCAGGACTATCCCTGGTCTTTCTTCTTCTTCTTCTTTTTCTTTCTTTGTTGTTTAAATATATTCTATATTTATGTTAAATATATATTCTATATTAATTGTACAAATATTGTTTCATATTGTAGAATCCTACAATGATTAGGATTAGGAAAAGGTTGTATATATAAACCCATGTACTCCCACTTTATCATTCAAGGAAAATCACAATTCTTCATGGTATCGGAGTCATAATTCTCAAACCAAAAACCCTAACCCTACCTCCTCTTCCTCTCTCTCTCGGCGTGCCCTTCTCCAGCCGCTCAACCGCCGCCGCCCTCCTCTCTCTCGGCGGACTGTCCTCGGCGACGGCACAGCCCCACGTCGGCGAAACCTCACCTCCTCCTTCCATATGGCTTCCTCCGACAAAAATACAGAAAATTCAATCTCCTCCTCCTCCTCCAATCCCCCTCATCTCGCTTTCACCACAATCTCCAACGTCAAGCTTCATGTCCCGATTCAGCTGAGCTTCTCTCAACCCAATTACAAAAAGTGGAGCTGGCTTTTTCTTCTCCTGGTGCGCCGATTCACTCTCCACGGTTTTCTCTCGGGTTCTTCATCTCCCTCCTCTGCCGATGATGATGAATGGTACTAGCTTGATGCCCTGATCCAAGGGTGGATTTTCTCTACTATTTCTAACGAAGTCTCAGATCTGGTCATCTCCACCACCTCCACCGCAGCTGAATTATGGCAGGTTATTCATGCACTTTTTCATGACAACAAGCATGCTCGGGCAATGCAACTCGAGCACCAGTTCCGAACCACCATCAAGGGTACGATGACTATGGCCACGTACTGTCAAACCCTTCGGAACATTGCCGATTGGTTGGATGATGTCGACGCCCCGGTCTCTGAGTCTCAACTCGTGCTCCAAATGCTTCGGGGGTTACCCGAAGATCTCCAGGCTCAGACGTCATTCCTGCAATTCCAACAATCGCTGCCCAACTTTCTTCAGACCCGATCAGCCCTCCTGCTCCTTGATCGGCAACGGCAAAGCATTGCAGACGACGCCGGGACAGCCCTCCTGGCCGGAAGAACCGGCGGCCCTCCCTAAGGCACAAACAGCGGCGGCTTTGGGCGTGGCAGTGGAGCGCCTGGTAGCGGGCATAGCGGAGGCAGTGGTGGCCGCAGACAGCAGGGGCGCAACTACGGTCGTGGTGGAGGTGGCCGTGGACGTGGACGAGGAAGAAACTCTTGCTCGCAACGACACCCGCAGGACGGCTACGTACCTTGGAACAACTCACCGCAACCCAACCCCGGCTCGGGTCTCCTCGGCCCACGCCCACCTAACCCTACCCATCTAAACGCCCATGCCTACTACACCTACAACCCTACCCCTAACCCCCCACCCCACCCCTACGGCCAAACAACCTACCCAGCCCCAACCCTACTACCTTACCCGACAGCCCCCCCTACCCATCACCCTACCCGCAAACCCCACCACCCCACCCGCAGGCTCCCAACCTCACCCCCACAGCCCTAGCACACCAATTTGATACCATGACCCTACGGGAACCCACATGGTATTTTGACACGGGAGCCACGCACCACATCGCCTCCGATCCAGGTACTATTTCTCATGTCTCTTCTCAATCATTAAATTCTTCATTACATATTATTGTTAGCAATGGTTCTAAGGTAAGCACTACGGCGGTGGGTACCCACACCCTCCCCACCAACCCTCCCCTCTCCCTTAATAACGTCCCATCTCCACTCCAGTCGATACGAAGGCCAAACTGTCCGGCACATCAGGCTCGTTGGCGGCCGACCCAGCTCTATATCGCTCCATAGTTGGAGCACTCCAGTATCTCACATTCACTAGGCCAGACATCTCCTACTCAGTTCAGCAGCTTTGTCTCCATCTACACGCCCCCCGGGATGCCCACGTCACGGCCATGAAGCGTGTCCTACGCTATCTCCGTGGCACCTCCACTTACGGTATAACTCTGTCTCCCTCTGGCACAGATTCTCTCCAGGCCTATTCTGATGCTGATTAGGCTGGGTGCCCTGACACTAGGCGATCCACATCAGGCTACTGTGTATTCCTTGGGGACAACCTCATCTCTTGGTCCTCCGAGACCAGCTGGATTTGAAATCTCCTCCTAGAGGTACAACAGCCCCTACGCCGCGCTACACTCATCTTCTGCGACAATGTCAGTGCCGTTTACCTCTCCACCAATCCGGTTCAGCATCAGCGCACTAAGCATATTGAAGTTGACATTCACTTTGTTCGTGACAAGGTGGCCCTCGGCCAGATTAGAGTCCTTCATGTGCCATCCTCGTCACAGTACGCCGACATATTCACAAAAGGCCTCCCGTCCATATTATTTCAAGATTTTCGGACTAGCCTCGGGATTCGCCCACCGCTAACGCCGACGTAGCCGGGAGCATGTTAAATATATTCTATATTTATGTTAAATATATATTCTATATTAATTGTACAAATATTGTTTCCTATTGTAGAATCCTACCATGATTAGGATTAGGAAAAGGTTGTATATATAAACCCATGTACTCCCACTTTATCATTCAAGCAAAATCACAATTCTTCACTCCTATTTCTTATTCGATGTTTCCTTATCAGTAAAATAGTTCCAATGTGGGAATGGAAGCGGATGGCAGCTCTTCTTGTCTCCATCTGAAGTCTGAACAGAGGTAAATGTTTTAGGGAGATGTCTTCTTTTGTGCATATACTCAAACAAAGATCTTTGAGAAATTGTGATTCTTTGTGTGTTAAAAGTGATGTTCTTGACACATATACCTAGACTTTATGACTTGATGTATGTTTCTTCATAATTGCTTTAGATATAAGCAACAATTTTCTGAATTCGTGGAATCATGGGCAATAATTTATATATCTAACTGGGTTTTAATCTTCATTGGGGATGAAAATTTAATGGCAAAAAAAACTGCAGAGAGTATATAAATTTCTACAAAACCCTGTCCAACCACACATGATTAATCCATAGATGAGCAATCTAAATAGTCCAGAATGTTACCAAAAGAAAGAAATAAAGAAGGCATAGCCTAAGAACATATAGGAAGGAAATGAGAAGATGGTGAGAAACTGAGAACAAAGAACATAACTCATTTTCACAACAGTCTCAATCCTCCGGAAAAAAATAGAAGAAATTGGAGGAAACCAAAAAGAGTTAGAAAAAGCTAGGAGAAGTTGGAAGAAGATTAAAGGAGTTGGAAGAAATTGAACGAGTTGAAAGAAATTAGAAACAGTTAGAAAATGTTGGAAGTTAAGAGTTAGAACCTAAAAGAAAGAGTTTATATGAAATAATTTAACAATTATTGTGAACTAGATGATCCAATAGGTTTGGGCAAAAACAAAGATGAATATGTTAGACAAAAACGTTAAAAAAAGTCATTGTTAGCCCATATGAAAGATTTTCTGTTTTTGACATAGAGCTTTTTCATGGTTAGGAAGCACATCAACTCTGCTGAATAAATCGTTTAAAGCACTCGTTTGAGTAAGAGAATGAAGAAAAAAAAGCAAACTGAAAAATAGACAAAAGAACATATATATGGGAAGACAACAATCTGACTCAGTTCCACATCAGAATCTCAATGGAAAACATCATTTGTGGGCAGCATCATCAGCCCTCAACTCATTTCTGTTCTCTAACATCATTTATGTGGAGAACCTCAACGCTTATCAAGCAAACAAAAACAAAAAAACATTATTAACATAGATCGAATTGCTTTACTTGATAATGATAAAATACATTATTACACACATAGTACATAACCAATTATTTCTCTTTGAGCTCCAAACACAACTGAGAATGCTTTATATGTATATGTATATGTATGTATGTATGTGTATATGTATATATATATATATATATATATATATATATATATATATATATATATATATATGCTTCTCCTCTCACGCATATCCTCTTTATTTCCTTGCAAAAGTCTTGACGAACCAATAGTATTTTCTCGTAGTCAACTCGTTCCCAAGGATCACTCCAACAGCCAAACCACTAACAAATCCAATTGATATTATCATCCACTTTATTTTAGAGACATCTTCGTCGTCGTCATCTTCTGTAGGGGATTGAGCCTGCTGCAGTTGAGGCAAAGACCTTGCATTTCCACACTGCTTATTCCAAGTTTCAAAGGACAATCCAGGATTCCCTTCATATGACTTGGAGTCAAAGGTACAGAACTGGTTTCCCTGTGGAATGGGGCCAGAGAGATTGTTAAATGACACGTTGAATGATGAAAGAGAAGTGAGTTTTGTGAGCTCCATAGGGATCTGTCCCGAGAGATGGTTTAGGGAGAGATCCAAAGATTCTAAATTTTTCATGCTGGAGAAAGAAGATGGTATGTTCCCAATGAGATGGTTTCTAGAAAGATTTAGCACCTGAAGTCCCGTGAGATCTCCATACACATCTGAAATCACCCCTTCAAAGTTGTTGGAGGAGAAGTCTATGGTACAAAGAATAGTTGGAATCTTTACATAGTTTATTTCCAAACCCTTGTTGTGCAAGATCACTGAGTAATCAAATATGCCGAAGTCTTCACCACCCCACCTGTAAGTCGGATGCAAGTCTAGCTCCATGTAGTTCGTCGTGTGACTTGTATTTAAGGCTCTCATGGGCTTCGAGGTGTTAATGAACTTTGATGGTAACTTCCCTTTGAATCTGTTGTTGGATAAGTCAATGACTCTAAGGTTTGAGGATCCAAAATCATTGTTAAGTTCACCATGAAATTGGTTAGATTGCAACTTAAGGACGCTCAACATTGCAAGTCTTCCCGACCAAAAAGGAAAAGTATCTCTTATTTGGTTGTTGCCAAAATCCACAAACTCCAACTGTGAACAATTGGTCAATGATCTGGGTAACTGTCCTTGTAACTGATTGTAACTCATATCTATCATTCTCAGTTGACATCCATTTCTCCACATTGACGGAATATTTCCATCAAACTTGTTTCCTCTCACATCCAGTAATAAAAGGCTATTGCTAAAACTACTCAAACATTGAGGAAGTTTTCCACTCAAACTATTGAATGCCAGATCAAGATGCACAAGGAATATGAAATTGCAAATGAGAGGTGAAAGTTCTCCAGACAAACTATTGTTTGAAATTAGATAGGATGAAAATGTGGAAGTGGTGGAAGGTGGTGGGATTGGGAGAGAACCTTGTATCATATTATTTCTGAGGTCTAAAGCTCTTATTTTAACCCGAGGATGAAAGAGAGAATGTTCCCTTTCAAAACCAGTTAAAAGGTTATAAGAGAGGTTCAAATAGAGACCCATTTCAGAATTTTGGCCGAGATAAAAAATCCACGGAGGAATTTGACCCTTGAGACGGTTATTCGAAAGATCAAGACATTCCAATATATTTTTGTTGTTTTGCAAGAATGTAGGAAATTCAGATATATTACATGAAGCCAATTCTAAAAACATTAATTTTGGAAAGTAGTCATTTGTTGAACTAATATTTTTTAGGCTCAATGACAAGTTATTATATGACAATTTTAATTGATTTAAAATTTTGAGGTGAGAGAACAAGCTTAGATCCACCGAGCCAAACAATCTATTATGATGCAGTGAGAGAGTAAAAAGGTTACGGAGAGTGGATAGATTTGTAGGAATAGAACCTTCCAAATTATTATAGGAAAGCTCCAATGTGTGAATTAGGTGATTAAAATTGGTCGGGATATGGCCACTTAGTTGATTGTGAGACAAGTGAATGGAATTGAGTTGAGGGAGGGTCATGAACCAAGATGGGATGGGACCACTAAGTCGGTTATGAGACATATATAGATCAGTAAGTCGAGTGAGGTTCATGAGCGAAGAAGGTATCTTACCCGTCAAGTCCAAGCCTTGAAGGGACAAATCAGTGAGCTTGGTGAGCTTACCAATCCACGACAATGAAGAAGTATTGAGAGTATCCGGGGTGACGTGATTACCACCCCAAATGCCCAAAAAGACCAGTTGGGTAAGATTACCGAGTGACATCAGGTCCCCTGTAAAATTGCTAGTGTCCATGTATAGTTCTTTCAAAGAGGTGAGATTCCCAATGGAGGGAGGCAACACTCCCCCAAAACTTGTTCCGAAGAAACTTAACGTCTGAAGAGGACTCCCGGAACGGAAGTTGGGCAAATAGCCTTTGAAATCACGATTTCCACTTATATCGAGCATCTTGAGCTTCGGGAGATCGAAAATGGCCATGGGAAACTCACCCTTCAGCTCACAGTCAAGAAGATCTAGAGATTCTAATGATGAGAGATTGGAGAGGAGGTGAGGTACACCTGAAGAAGAGAGGTTCACTTCTGATAGATGGAGATGCTTCAAGTTGCTCATGTGTTGAACTAGTCCTTTCAGACTATGCAGTTCCAATCCGGAATATGAAGACAGATCAAGGGAAACCATAGTTGTGATATTGGAGAGTTGTTGTTGTGGGATTTGGCCAGAAAAGTTGGATTCGGTAAGGTGGAGATGAGTGAGACGGGAGAGGTTTCCGATTGCGGAGGGTATGTGAGAATAGTTGAAGTCATTGTAGGAGAGGTCCAGCCTCTGGAGGTGAGTGAGTGTAAAGAGGGAGCTGCTGGAGTTTATGGAACCGAAGAGGCAACTCTGGCTCAGGTCTAAGCCGATGACATGATAATGATCAGTTTGTTCATCACACTCCACGCCCTCCCAGGAGCAGCAGTCGCCCCCTTCTTTCCATGATTCCAGTTTTGGTTTTTGATGAACACCATTATTGCATTGGTTGGTGCTGGGAAAGCTGTGCTTGAATTGGAGCAAGGCAGCCTTCTCTTCATCGTGGCACCGTCGTCTCGTCTTCTCCAAAGACGAATAATGAGATGAGGATGAAGAAACCAACACCACCAGCACCACCTGTATGTATAGGTGAAATATTATTGATATTGAAGACTCCATATCTGTATGTATGTATGTTTGTTTGTTTTATGATATGATAATACGAGCTTACTAAGTTGAGTGCTCTAATTTATATACCCACACAAAATGCACTCAGTACCTTCTTTTTCTACTTAAAGTGTTAGTGGTGACAATGAAGGAGAACTTAGACTAGTCAAAGTTTTTACTATTGTTGATGTGTTTGAAATGGGGGAATGAAAGAGCCCCTCCCCTCTTCGGTGCCGTGTGAGAATTGTCATGCCCATTTCCCATCTTTTTCCTTCATGTCTTTTATTCATGTATTCATGTTACCAGTTTATTTACATGATGTTTGGTTCAAGGAATTAGGAAAGAAAAGAAAATGAGTTTCTCTCATTTTCCTCACAAAAATGAGGGAAAATTTGGTTTTCCATTCCCTTAGTAATATTTGTCTTCTTATTTTCTTTTCTTTTTCCTTTTTTTTCTCTCTAACCAAACAAGAAAAATTGTTTTCCATCCCATTTTCTTTGAACCAAACATACTGTTAATAGTTTTTTCTTTCTTAAAAAAAGTAGACCGCCTGTCCCGATCGCCCCCACACGAAGATTTATTTTCCGTCTTAATTTCTTTTCTTTTTCTTTTTAAATTCCTTGAACCAAACATAGTGTTTATTCATTTCGATGGAAAAAATACTTAAATTATAAGACTAAAATATGTTCTTTATATCTAAAATAGTGTCCTCGATGTTTTAGTATCAAAATGACTTAAATTATCAAAAAAAAAATTATAAAATATCAAGATCAAATATCAAATTGTGAAATTTCATGGAGATAAAAACATAAACAATCATTAGAGTGGAGAAAGACGAGTGAAACATACCTTTTAAATGGGAAAGCATAACATGGCCGTGTAGCTTATTGGATCGGTGCGTGTGAATTGTAATGGACGATTCCAATTGTTTACCTTTGAGATCTCTTTGGTTTCAACCTCTCTTGGTCTCTTCTTTCACTTCTCCCTAAATTTATGTTGCTTCTGTCTAAAAATTATCTTCCCGTTCACTATTTACATGATCAAACTTTATTCTTAACCTATTTTCATTACTCATTAGATAAAATAATATAGTCATGTCACCCCTAGTTTTGTAGATTTTGTAATGTAATTTTTTAATATGTAATTTTTATTTTATAATTTTATACGATTTTTCATATAAAATAATTTGAAAATAACTTTAGTCAAACACGTAACGTGCAATTGGAAGATAATTTTTTGACGAAGGGAGTAAAATTTGAACAAACTAATTAATACTCCTCCCTCTCATGTTTTTATTTATTATTTGATAAAATAAAATATTACTCCCTCTGTCCCATTTTAAATTGCATGTTTGCCTTTTTTCTTTGTCCCAAAATAAGTTGTCTGTTACTTGTTTTTGTAAATTTTTAAGAGTAAAATACCTAAACTACCCCTAAAATATGTCACTCTTCTCCACCTTATCTTCTCATTCATCGTCACCCCTCCTAAAAAGTAATGGCAATTTTGGAAAATCAACTCAAATTTTTCTTTTTCTTAAATATGCCCAAAAATCAAAACATGCGATTTAAAACGGGACGGAGGGAGTATTATTTATCGTTTGTTTTGTTTTGCAAAATCTTTTTAGTTTGTGAATTTTTTCCTTTCTTTATGTGGTCGGAAGGTAATTTTATTCTTCTTAAAATAATGTGTATATATCAAAATTATTATATGCGAAGTAATTTTTTAATACTAGTAACTCTATTATAGTGGAGTATACTTGTTTCTCAACTTATCCGCTAGGATTCACACCTTAGAGATAGTCCTCCTACCACTGAAACCAAGAGAGAAACTCAATTACTATACTATTATATAATTATTAACAAATTTACTCTCTCCATCGAAAATTCATTTACACTATTTGACAGCGTGGGAATTTCAGGTTCTATCAATTTTATTTTATTTCGAGATTTGTAAATAAATAAAAAAGTAGAACTTAAATGTTACTCCTTCCGTTCAAAAATAAACTTCCCGCTTTCACTTTACACGTAAATTAAAGAAAAGTAAAAAATGTTTTGACTTTCCATATTTGTCCTTGGGTCATTGCAAAAAGTGAAATAAAGTGTAGGTACAGATAGTAATTAATGAGTAAAAGTAAGGGTAGCCCAATGGAAACAATCAAGTAACCAAGGCACGCTGACTCTCTCAAATAAGATTACATTTAGACTCCCTTTGGTACACAGAATTCAAGTCATGGAATTGGAATTGGGGACTTCAATCCCAATTATTCTAATTGGTAACACAAAGATACATGAATTTAGAATAGGTAGTGCAAAAAATGATTGAAATTGAAGAACTCAATTCCAACTAATTCAATTCTATAACCAATTTCAATTCAGTTCTAATTCTGTCAATTTCATGTACCAAACGGAACCTTAGTCTCGCCATAATATAGGTGATTTGCACCGCAAATAATACACACACATGTCCCGGTAGATGAATAAAGAGTCGCTCAAAAAACAGCTGCCCCCATGTGATCATAACCCGCATCAATGTAGCTCATCGGAACCGAGCTAGACAAATCCCCGCCCACTTGTTGGGACTTCAACTAGCCGGAAGTGGGAGGGGTTACGCTGCCTGCTGATTCGAGAGAGAAGTAACAGTCGTTCTCCACGTGTTGTCGGGCGACGGAATCTTACCGTCCTAGATAGCATAGTTGCATGCCAAGTTGCCAACTAAATGCCCAAAGATTAATTCCCCATAATATAGGTGTTTTGCACCACAAATAATACACACACACACACATATCTATCATCCATATACAAAAAATGCTCAAATGAGAAACAATCACAAGGCCGTGTTGCCCGGTCACACGTCGTATTGCCTCTTTGACCGGCGCGTGCGAATTGTCTCAATTTCTAGCTCTCTTTCTTTCCCTTCCTTCTCGCTATATTTATAAAATTTGAACAAATTAATACTCCTCTTAAAATAATGATTTATATTATTACTATTAGTCTATTAATGTATTATGGTTCTCAATAACTTTGTTTATTTTTCATATTTTCGTCTATAGTTTGAAAAATAAAATATTCTTATTACTATTTGTTTTACATAGTGAGATGAGAGGCGTATGAATGATGATGAAAAGATGAACAACAACAACCATAGAGAATGATGACGATGACTCCATAGTCAATAGTCACCCCTTTTCAACATAAATAAGAGTGGTGAGAACAAGCTATGCACTATATGCCCAAAGATTAAATTCCCCCATAATATAGGTGTTTTGCACCACAAATAACACACACACAAACACTCACACACACATATCTATCATCCATATAGAAAAAAGCAAGAAGAGCAAACAAAATAGTAGACTATCATATGTGTGCTGATCCAAATTTGCAACAATCTAGCAACAATTAAATGGTTGCCCAACTTTAATGACTATGTCACGCAAAAGGGTTGCCCAACAATTAAATGGTTGCCGAACTTTAAATTCGCAACAATCTAGCAACAATCAAGGGCATGTATCAATAAAGTCAGCCTATGGAAATGACATAATGGAAGAACAGTCAGATCAAAAGCAGAGCGTTAACATTGGAACCGTTTATGAGATACCAAACCAAAGGGCGTCGCCTGCAAATCATAAGGTGTGGCCAGTGTGGGTTAGAATCTCTAAGGATGTGATTCAAAGTGGTCATGTGCTTCTACCTCCTCTGATAGTGGCTCATCAGCTTTCACCATAACAGCATGATTTGTAGACATACGAACTGCAGTGTCCCGAACTTGATCCGGCAACAAACTAAATAGATCAATACTGCAACCTTGACAAATCAATCTTGACCCACAGCAAGGTTTGCAGATCTCAGTCTTCTTATATCTTCCATCCTTATAAGGTCTCCACCGAAACCTTGTGAAGGGTCGCGCACATGTTTTGCAAAAGTTATCATAAGGCGCCTGCAACCGAAAACAGGAACCTATTTCAGCACTTTTTCTGACCCAAGACATGGTTATGTAGCTCAAAAATAAAAAAAATGACTCAACCTTGCAACATAATTGGCTCTGATGTTTCAAAATTAATCATCTTATCGACATGATTACATAATTAGAAAGTTCTAGTTGTACTTTTTCCACTAAGCAAGCAAGTGATCAACTATTGATAATAACCTTGTTGAAACTTTCTTAGTATTATAGTATAGGCGCATGAGGTGTGCCTGTGTGAGTGTATATCCCTGCTATTGTCTTCATTTTAGGTTTAAAAAAAAAGTAGGGGTAGTTTGGGTTTTTTGATGCATTCCCTTAGCCTATATGTGCTTTGGCTCTGCTCGACCAGTCGGAGGCCAATGAGGTAGGTGTACCCCAATTTTTGTGGGTCCGGAGTCCACTCCTTCTAGAAGCCCAAACAAACCTCATTATTCATTAAGTTGTGTGATAAGCTATTATAGTGCCCAAACAAACCTCATCAAGTTCTGTTATACACAAGTGATCAAAGATTAATCAATCAAAATGCATGGTTCCATCCATTGTTTGATCTAATGTTTATACGGAGTATTATTGTGGGTGAATCAAATCAACCAAGCAATAATTCCATCATCTGCAATTGGATTTTTAATAGTGTGAATGAAACAGAAACAATCCAGCCAAGTATCACATCACAGTTCACACAATGTTGCCTATGAGCTTTGATGCCATGTAGAATTATGTGCAAACCAAACTGCCTTTGTTATTAGCAAGACCAAGTATTCATGCAGGTATGCAACAAAACCGAATTACAAACGGATTAGGCCAAATCACAAAGCCCATAACAAAATATAGGCTAACATCTAATCTTTCTATGCTATCTCTTTCATGCAAAAGGTCGTAACACGAAACTATGTGGATTGGCATAAGTCCCAAGAGGACCCTCTCCAGACATAATTGGCTCTGATGTGGATTGGCAAAACTGACACAGGAAAGGTTTTAACAAAATTGGAGAGATTGCATACCTCAGTGACACGGGGATTGTCTCCGAAGCAGAATTGGCAGAGTATGGGGTGATTAGATCTTAAACAACTCTCGGCAATGGAATCTCTTAATCGCAGCTGATGTTCCATAGCTTTTTTTGCCCTATACAACACCGAATTGGAAGACGAAAGGTGAAAAAATCATCTTAAAGAACCATAAACATCCATAAAATATGTGTAGAGGGAGGCGGAGACATACTCCAGGCAGCGGAGAAGGGAGGCGCACGGCGGTGAGGAAACAGCAAACACAATACGAAGGAGAGATAAAAGTAGAGGTGGGATCGGGCCGATCTTCATATTTATAATAAAGGGGCCGAGAGGCGGCGGGTTATTGGAAAATATACTACTCCGTATATGCTTTTGATTACAAAATGCTGGCGGAACAAAATTTTCTACTTTTTAAAATCATTTTATTTACAAATTAGTATATCAATAAGATATAAAAATTACATATTAAAAAACAACGTCAAAAATTCTTCAAAATAAGAGGTGACAAGAATATTTTATTTTATCAAATACTTAATGAAATCAAGTAAACAAACAAAAATTATCAAGAGGAGAGAAAAAAATTATAATTTATTTAGGGACGGAGGGAGTATTTCGAAGTTGGAACTAGGGGTGTATACGAATCGAATCGAAGCAAATATATCACTATTCGATTCCTATTCGATTAAAGTGATATGTATTCGAATTCGGATTCGTATATAATTCGAATTTTAAAAAACATCCGTATTCAATTCGATAGATACGTATTTGAATTTGTATTCGAATATTTGAATTCGAAAATATTAGTAATTTTTTTCTTAAAATAGATTTCTTAAAGACATTAAATTACGTAGTATTATTTTATAATAATGTAACATGTAGTAAAAATATGTTAGAATATATATAAATTTATTTATAAATTATAATATTTGAATTTATATAAATTTATATGTACACAAAAATTTAATATGTTAAAATATGTACACAAATATTTAATCACGAATTGAATACATTTTATTTGATTTGTATGCACCCCTAGTTGGAACAAACGCTATCGGGCTTGTTTCAAACATTTCGGGTAGGTTTGGCATCAGCGTCAGAGATTAGCGTAAGTGTTTTGAAAAAACTATCCGACGGTAGCCTTTAGCGTTAGTGTTTTTAAAATTAATCTGCACCATTAAAATTTTATCCAAAATGCTAACGTTAATCGAAAATGTTGTTACCAAACAAAGCCCGATTTTGAGGATCCGCGAGTGCGTGAGTTTTTTCTATTAAATTAAGAATTTAATATACATCAAATAAAATTAAACAATGAATATTAGTATAGTCACTAGAATAATACATTTTTTAAAATTAATCCATGGTTTTCATAAATAAAATAAAAATATAAGACTAATATTACTCCATAATGCAATTTGATGAAAATAAAAATAAAAGACTAATATTACTCCGTAAATTAAAAATAAAAGACTAGTATTACTTCATAAAAAAATAAAAATAAAAGACTAATATTACTCCGTAATGCAATTTGAACGAATATTAGTATGGTTTTATATATATAATTTTATTATTAGAATAATGAATATATCATATAGAACTTATTTATTACTCCGTAATGCAATTTGATGAAAAGACTAATATACACTTTGAAAATATTTTAAATTATTTAGTACTTTTTGTATTTATAATTTATTAAGTTATAGTAAACGAGCCAATCTGAGTCTTCTTGTTTCTAAATATTAAGAACCGGTCTGGCTTTTCTGTCTAGTGGACCCACCGCGGCTCGGCTTGTTCTTCAATATAAAACTTTGGATTAGGCCCTAAGGGCGTGACAAAAGTGTTGAGGGTGCGTAGGGACCGTGCGAAGATAAGATAAATTTTTGTCTTTGAATTATAACAAAATTATTTTTTTCTTATTGAAAGAAAATATTTTATGCGTAAAATATGTTTTTAAGACTATGTTAGCAATCACAAAAAAATAGATCTAAACACACCCTTTGTTTTTATTTTTTATTTAAAAAAATGAATGACATGTATGTCCGATTATGTGTTTATAATTGTGAGATTCCACTTTTTTCAAAAAATACTCAAAGGGTATCTAAAAATTGATGTAAGTGATTGTCTAGGCCAGTTCTGTCAAACCTACAGTATCTGTCTATTTCTATTTCTTCAAACTCATTATAAGCTAAATTATTCTTCTTCTTCAAAAACTTAAGTACCATTTCCACGGGAAACTTGCAACTAGGATTTCACATCTAGAGGGAAGACATGCTTCATTGTTGACAGGTATGATTATGTAGTTATTGGTAGACATTTTCTTATATTTTATGGAATTCAGGTAAATATGAGTCATTCAATTATAGATATTCCATTTGGTAAATGAATTGCAATTTCAAATTCTTTCAAATTAAATTGCTTGAAACTACAATTGACCTAAAAATGTTAGAATTTGTTGGTGAATAAATATTTGTAACTTTTTTGAAATAGATAAGAAATAAAAATTGACGGAATCTCTTCTCCCTACTATGGGTTTGACGAAAGTGATCTCAACAATCACTTGCAGTAATTTTTAGATACCCCTTGAGTATTTTTTGAAAAAAGTGAGGTCTCGTACTCATAAACACAAAATGGGAAGTAGTGAGAATCATTTTTCAGGAAATTACTCTGAGGTATCAGCGATTTTATAATAATGACTCTGAAGTCTCACATTATCGGAAATATATGTCGGGGCACCCTCAATTTTCTGGTAAAAACTCTCAGGTCTCACATTATTTATAATACCCCGGAGTATACAACAAGGGTCTTTAAAATTAATGGTAATGTACTTCTTGGGTATATTTCGTCTATTTGACCGTTAGGATTAATAGTTTTGATACTTTGACAAATACAAAATTTTACCTTCATAATCATTATTTTATTAAAGTAAAATTTGCACTAAATAAGACTAAAATATAATGATTTTCCAAATGTAGGACTTAAACTTTTTTATTCCCTAAATAGGACTTAATAATGACTTAATGGAAGAAATAATGCTCAGTAATAATGGACATTTAGTTGAATATTGACTACTTGATAATGACCAAAGGTCCTACATTGGAAAATAAAAACATATGGTCATATATTGGGAAAGTCATTATGTTTTAGTCCTATTTAGGTAAATTAACCTTTATTAAATTTAAATAAATCTTTCAATTTATCAATTTAAAAGAACTTTCAATTTTAACGCATATTTGACCAAATGTACATTCGAAATATGATATCACAAATCTTAAGGACATCTAAATATATTCTGAATAATGTGAAATCTAAGAATTCTTGCCAGAAAATTGAAGATACTCAAAAATATAATTTTAAATAATGTGTAATTTGAGTGTCAATATTTGAAAATTGGAGTAATTTTTTGAATCATTTTTTGTTTTATTTATTACCCAATTTTTACTCTACACTACTCCGTATTTGTTCTTGCTCTACCCGTCTTCTCAGATTCAACCGGGGACATGTCTCGCGCTGATCTGTCAACCCACGACTGAACTGTGACCGCCGTCGCGTTTCCCTCCTTGTCTTCCCGCCCGAATTCCTCCCAATCCAGCTCCAATGTCGATTCCGCAGCGCGAATCATGGGACTGTATGATCCCAGGCCCACCTTCACGCAGCAATGGCGGATCCGCGGACCTCTCCACCACCGGACTCCTGGCTTTCGCATCCGGAAGCTCCGTCGTCGTCGTCGAAACTCACTCCATGCAGCTCGTCACTGCCATCCCGCTTCCGCCGCCTCCGTCTCCATCCTCCGCCGCTCTCTCCCCCTTCATCACTTCCGTCAGGTGGTCCCCTCACCCGCTGCCTCACATTCTTCTGTCCTCCGACGCGCCCAATCAGCATCTCGTTCTTTCCGTCGGAGATCGGCAGGGCCGTATTTGCCTCCTTGATTTGCGATCGAGAGCTCCGCTCATGTTCTTAGACACTTCTAGCAACTCTACTCAGAAACTGGGAATTCAGGATCTCTGCTGGATCCAAACCGGGCTTGATTCTTGGGCCATTGCTGCTCTTTCCGGACCTTCACTTTTGAGCATATACAGCACATCATCTGGTCGTTGCTTCTTCAAATACGATGCTTCTCCGGAGCAATTCTCATGCCTTTGCCCTGATCCGTTCGATTCCAGGCGTTTCTGTGCTGTCGGGCTGAAAGGCTTCTTGCTCTCAATCAAAGCATTTGGGGATTCTGAAAATGATGTTGCTAATAAAGAACTGCAAATCCATACGGATGCCTCGGAATTGCAGAAGCTGGAGAGGGATTCAACTGCTGCTGTTAATGGGTCTCCGGCATTGGCTACATTTCCTAATTATATAGTGAGCTCTGCTTTTTCGCCACACTCCAAGCATATACTTTTTGTTGCTTTTCCGAGAGAGCTGGTAGTGTTTGATTTGCAGTACGAGGCTACATTATACTCTGCAGGGTTGCCCAGAGGTTGCGGGAAGTTCCTACAAGTATTGCCAGATTCAAATATGGAGGTTTTGTATTGTGCTCATCTTGATGGGATGATCAGTATTTGGCAAAGGAAAAAGTAAGTAATGAGTGACTGAACTTTAGTTTCTGTTTGAATTTTATATTCCTGCGCTTCTGTCTGTTAGTTTGCAGTGTCTGCAAAAAGAAGTATTGCTTAGTGTCCTGATACTAAATGTTTACCCTCCCCCCTCTCAATAGTTTGAACTAGGAGAGGATTTTAGATTAAATATGTCATGTAGTGACATCATACTGTTATGCCAAATTGCTATTTGAAATGAAAAAGGTTCCATTGCACTTTTTTTGATAGAATCAGAGTTTTGATACATGATACTGTTTTTCTTTGTTACTCATATGAAAATTGAGAGCTCATTATTAAGAGGAACAAACATGAAACATGCTGCAAACAGCTGTTCATGGGAGTGCAATTGTTTTAGGGGTTAATGGGTTATGAACAAACATCTCGTATGCAGCATTACAACTGTCAGGCTTTTGGAGACCAGAGTATTATAGTGTGATCATTTTAGGTGTTATGAACAAATAACTAAAATTGTACTGTTTTTTGTTGGGCTATATACACCTTCGGGCTTTTGGAGATCAGAGTATTAGAGTGCAATCATTTTAGGTATTTGTTCATAATACCTCAAATTTACTCAACTAAGTACTCTCATCCTATCATCTATCCAGCTGATTTCCGCAGAGCTGAACTGTTTAGGCAATTGTTTTAGTAACTTATGTGTGTACCAGTCAGCTGTGTCCCGGAATTCCCAGCAATTTGTACGCAAAGAAAACTCGGTCAGGTTAAGACTAAAACATCCTGTTTTACCTCATTCCATGTTGAGTCTGCTGTGCATTGCTGTTTATTTCGGTGCATATGGAATTGAGTTCTCAGACTTATGGTCATATACTCCTATACTCCGATGGAGCCATAGATTCACTATTGTTTTAGCTTTGGGGTATGATGGAATAAAGCAAAATGACTTTTTAAACTGATTGTTTCTTTTAATAGTGAAGTAGCATTTAGTCAATGCAACTTTCGATGCTCATCTCGGGTCATCAGAAAACAACCGCTCTATGTTTTAAACATAGCGCCATAGCGGTAAGGCTGCGTGCGTAATTATCTGTGGTGTTTGAGCCGGGGGTCTCTTTGGAAGCAACCTCTCTACTTTCGACATTCGAGTAGGGGTAAGGTCGGCGTACACACACCCTCCTTAGACCCTACTTTTGTGGGATTCAATTGGGTTGTGGTTGTTGTTGTACTCTTATACTATCTAGACTGGACTAGGATCTTACTAAAGGATCCATTTCATCCATAATACAATGGATTCGTGGACAAATAAATATGGTCATTCAAATTGAGAGACTTACACATTTCATCCCACAAACTTTGCCATGTTTTCACTATATGTAATCTGTTTTGTTTAGTTTTTTTAAAGATAAGATAATACATATTTTTTGATAATCTAACAGAGGAGAGCAGGTATATACAATCAGTGCTATGGAAGAATTGATGCCTTCACTTGGGTCATATGTACCTCCTCCCTCAGTTCTTGGTGTTGTTATTTGCCACTCAGATGCTATACTACAAAATATCAGCAAACTCTGTTCAGATGGACGTGAATCTTCTGAACTGGACTTTGATAATCCATTTGATTTTTGTGATGAATCCCTCATCATTTCTAAAACACCATTAATTTCCATTTCTGATGACGGAAAAGTATGGAAATGGCTCCTGACTGCTGAAGGATCCGGTAGTACTCAAAAGGCTAAACCAAAACCTGGCACTGCAGTGGAAGTTCATAAATCTCAAATCCCGGAAGAAAATCCTCAGAAAAATATTTTTCCTAGTGATATGTTAATGAAATCAAATGCTGCAATTAGCAATAGTGGATGTGTGTCAAATGCTTCTAAAAACGACAAAGAGTTGTTCAAGGTTTGTATGCATGCTTACATATTAGTCCAGGAACAATATTTTCTTTACCCTTGTTATTCTGCCCATGATGTCTATTGTAATAGCCAAGTCACGATTGTTGGTCAATCATTTGTCTGATGCTCACCTATTTTAAGTTTTAACCAACCCACAACTAAGGAACCCGGTATAAACCCAACTTCTTTGGGGTCTTCAATACACAACCTTACCCATGTGACAGAGAAGCTGTTTCCATTACCCAAAACTTTATTGAAAGTAATAAGCTTTAATGTGCTATTTTTATTCAATCTATTATTTACCCAAAACGTAGGCATCATCAAAATATGACTCTTTTAACTCCATAGTCCTTAGGCAATGAACCCTAAGCTTTAACCACCCTAATAAGAGAAAAACGAAATGCGTGAGGGAAGAGAAATAAATTACCTCCTCAATGTTGTAGGTTAATTTGATTTTCACTTTTGATCTGTTGGTTTCTCTATGCGTCTGTGGGTGGAAGCAAAATTCAAAAAGCTCTTATCCAACCTTAAATGTAGCTGGATGGAATGACTTGTTCTTCCTTTAATTCTGCTGCTCTTGCTATGAAATGGTCATGCTCAGCTTATTCCCCACATAGGCACACACTCACTTTGTCTACTAGTTACTCTTGTAAAGTGTGATGCAAGTTCCCACCCCTTTTAAGTTGTGGGCTAGATTGAATGCTCTCATTTTCCATTCTAGATAGTCATCGATTTTGCTTCAAGTTTGTGAAAAACGAGGTTGAGACTTGGCTCAACAATAAGGTTTTTCCTTTTTGGCTTATAGAAAAGCCTCTTTGCATGTGAAACAGGAAGGCAGCAGACTCTGACCCTCCGTCCATACCCTTGAAAAGCAAGGAGCTTTCTGGCACTAGGATAAACCCCCTTTTTTGTATGTGAAAACCGTAAAACAGCAAATATTAACTTGCACAATTTATGGTTGAACTGTTGAAGACAGGGATAAACAACATACAAGTAATAGCCTAATAGGTCTTTTATGTATTCTTTGTCATGCTTCATGAGATGGTATCATGGTAATGCTTTTGTTGATAAATGTGCCTTAGTAATGAATAAGAGAATGGTGGCATATAAACATTAGAAAGTCATTGACTGCCAATTTCTCTCCATTGGTTGAGCTGGATGCTAAATTTCTTGTGCTATATGTCGAGGATCTTGATGAAGAAATATTTTTGACCTGTGGTGTCTCGAATTGCACTCTCTTCAGGTGGGATAGGTAACTATCCCCTTATTTAGGGATGAGTAATAGTGAGATGTGGAACTATTTCAAATCACGATAAATCACAGTTCAATGAAATTTTATTGGCTCTAAAGACTCAAATGGACGAATAGATTTTGATTTGTAGTACCTTGCTTTCCTAGAAGTCTTTCCACCATCTTTATAAAGCTCATTGTATTATCAATTTATGTAGATTAGCCTAGTTGGACAGCTTCATCTTCTTTCTTCACCACTGAGTATGCTAGCTGTACCATCACCTTCTTTGACCGGCACTTTGGCACGTGAGTGTTTACTATTAATATTTGCATGTTTATTAAATACAACACGTGTATTAAGATCCAATAGGAGTCATTATATTTCTTTGAAGATCCTGGACTAAAAGTGGGTGGTGTAAACAATTAAGGTGGAGGGAACTTTCCAGCTGTTGCAGTTCCTCTAGTTGCTTTGGGAACACAAAATGGTTCAATTGAGGTCATTGATGTCTATGCCAATGCAGTTGCTGCTAGTTTCTCTGTTCATAATAGCGTTATTAGGGGATTGCGGTGGCTTGGAAATTCTAGATTGGTGTCATTTTCTTATACACAGGTAAGAAACACGTTACTTGAGCTTTGTCATTTTTAAAGGACTGGCTAGTTTTTTGTAAGATAAGAGCTTTTTGAGGCAATTGACTGATCAAATAGTTACTCCGTATAAGAAATGTTTGGTGAACATGTTTTGGGGATAGATTTTTGCTCCCAAAAACTGGCTTCCTTTGGCTTTGTTGCTGTCTTTTGAACCACAAAGGAAGAAGAGGAGAAAGATTTTTTATCCCAAAAAGCTAAGCTACAAAAAAACTTGTTGCTTAGGCTTTTTGGAGACAAATGTTTTTGTGTTATTTGCTAGCACAAATAACACACCCAACTAAGGCCATAATTCCCATAAAAGAATGAAATCAAAAAAAAATATTGAGTATTAATATTTGTATTTTAAAAATTGGACACATTCATATTTGATTAAAAAAGCTTACTTACTAACTCAAAGAACAGTTTCAATGTATTCGATTCAGATTTAAATCTTTAAAGTTTGACATTTGCACTAAAAATTTAAAATTTTAGTTATATATGAATAACATTAGTAATAATTCATTATATTTAGTAAATATATTATTGAGTATGTGACATATTTTAATAAATTCTGTTACGCCCACAAATTAAATTTACACTCCTTTTTTGTTCATTCCAAAATAAACTGCACCCTGCCTTAATTTCCTTTTAAGGAACTCAATATGTGGTTTAGAACATTTCTCTTTGTTCTAAGCAAGTTTGATCCACATACTTTTAACTGTTCACCACTTTTCTTAAGCTCCATGAAGTCAAACTATGAATTTTTTCAAGGACAAAGGGTGAATATTTTAGGATGAAGCATTTTAATTACTCTATATTTATTATCTTGATTGAATATTTTAATAAGTATTTGACATATTTTAATAAATTCTTCATTAATGATTATGTTATGGACATTGGAGTAATTATTTAGGACACACAAAAAATATTTGTCAACTCTCTGAATCACACACACACACATATTCATATTAAAAAATTAACTGAATAACAATGAATATTCAAACTTGTATTTTGTTTCAAACCAATTTTTCTAAATAGCTGTCACAAACAACTGGCACAAACATCTACACACACCCACACACACCTAAGAGCTAACTACACTGCCTCTGAATCATATCCTGAATGTAATATCTAGTGAGGAACTTTTCTTGTTCATTTGATAGAAGTTACTTAATTGAAACAATGGCTTTGTCTTTTTCCTCCAGCGAGCAGAAAAATCTAGTGGCTACGTTAATAGGCTTGTTGTGACTTGTCTAAGAAGTGGACTGAATCGATCATTTCGAGTTCTACAGAAGCCAGAACGAGCACCTATAAGAGCTCTAAGAGTCTCGTCTTCTGGAAGGTTCGTTGATAACCTAAATTCTTAAATGTCTGTGCAATATGCATATTACTGTTGGTTGCTTACTGCATGTATGCTGAACGACTGTGTGCTTGCGACAATGCGTTTGTTGCTCATTTTTTTTGCTATGCCGACAAACAAGCTACTAATTTCATTTGATCTAGTCCTGTAATCCTCTTAAAATTGTATGAAGTTGTGCCATAGAATTTATACATTCTTACTAATTTAATCATTTAAACCTTATTTAAACCTTGTATCCATTACTTGTTTTGATTTTGGTATATTATTAAAAAGTAAAACATGGCTAATGTACTTTGTTTGTTTAATTATAACTTGTAGGATATGTCATTTCCAATTTTCCTTAATGATACCTGCCCTCGATTATCTCGGGAAACGAAGTGTCTTTGTATGACAGTCATTAAAGTTGGGCAATCATTTAATTGTTGCTAGGCTGATGTTGCTTACTTCAGTTACTTGTATTGCAAATTCGTATCAGCATACATCTGATAATCAAACTTTTTTCTTTTGCTCTTCTTCCTTTCTTTATATATGTGTGTGTGTGTATTATTTGTGGTGCACATCATCTATTTTATGGGGAGACTACATGCTTTCTTTGACATCTACTGGATAATCTAGAAGTAGTTTTGGCGTGCCTATAAGAAATCACATTGCGGTGTGTCATTTTATTTTGATGTTTGGTGTCTGTAATGGTTTGGGGGTATTTTACTCCATTAATCTTGACCCCTAAACCCAACAGATTTGGGAGTATACTAGGTTGTCTCTATCCATCGCGGAACTAGATACTTGATCCTTGACAAACTGGAAGGATGGTTACTCCAATGTGAATGCTAATATACTGAGGGTTTATCCTTATCTATAATCACTGCGCTATATTTTAATCGAATGTTTCCATTGGGCTTGATTATTCAGGTTTCATCTATTACTTCCTTTAAGCATCTTAAATTTTAAGAAGTTAACATGTTAGTTTCTTTATATTGAACAATATTTGCCTTGTTCTTGCTAATTATAGTTCTCAACCACTGCACACATGTTCTCATAGTTTCCAAAAACAATTTAGGTACCTTCTAATATTGTTTCGTGATGCACCCGTAGAAGTTTGGGCAATGACAAAGACTCCTGTTATGGTATATCAGTTCATCCCTCTACTTTCTAGTTTTCATCACAATTTTCTACATAAACATATCAAATTGGTTTTTGAATGATTTAAAATAATGATGTGCAACAGAAATTTTTTACTGCCTCAGTGCGTTTGTGACAGGGTTGTTGGTTTTTTAAATTAAGCATAAATGTGTTCAAAGTTTTATGTTATGAAATTCATAATTATCTTCAAGGTTGTAAGGAGTAAAGGACCGAGGAGTGTAACCTGGATTTTTAACCTGGGTAACCGTACCATCAGAGATGCACTTATGCACTTGAATGACTCTTATTGCGAGAGATGAAAATGATGTTTTTGGTCAATCGAGATGCACATTTACTTTCGCGGTAGTGCATACTTCAAGGCAGCAACCAAGTTTGGCCTATTTACTAAAACACCACTGCCTTTTTTTATTTTTCACTTTACTAAAATGCCACTGCCTTATTTTTCACTTTTCTAAACCAGCAACCAACTTTTATTTTTATCTAAACCAAAACGTTATAAAAATGTATTGTTTTGTTTTTGATGCAGTACCTATTTTATTTTGCAATTTTGTAATTCATTTGTTGTAATTAAAAAATATTAGTAAATCTTCTCGTTTCACCATAAGTTCTCTCCTTATTGTCTCATTATTTGGCTGCAAACCATGAGAGTTGCTCGTTTTATGTTGAATTTTAACACGCAGCTTAGATCACTAGCTCTGCCATTCACTGTAGTGGAATGGAGTCTTCCAACAGTCCCACGTCCGTCATCTAAAGATCGTACAACAGCATCTGTGGAGACATCTTCGCCAAAGGGATCTCCTTTGGACTCTAGTGAGTTGAAATTTTCATACAGAATGTAGCAGCATTAACTTTTTCTTTGTCTTATTTCTTAGTGATTGCAAGTCCTTATATCTGAGGATTAATTTTATTGCAGAATCTGGCACTGATGAACCACAAGATGAATTTTCAGAATGTTTTTCATTTGCATTGGCAAATGGAGCACTTGGAGTTTTTGAGGTTCAGGGGAGAAGGATCCGAGACTTCAGGTGTTTTTATTTTCTGACATATTTGACTACCAATGGTACCAAACATGACAGATTTTTACACTAACGTTCAACAAGTTGGTGAGATGAAAGTCATGAAACTGATCAAGATAATACATAGAAATAATATAACTACATAAGCAAGTGGTTGATCAATTGGACTTAAGGATGGAGTTGCTGCAATTAGTGTGATTATAATATTATATCATAATATTTTTGGTGTGTTCTCATGATTCATAACCTTGTGCTGTTATTTCCGTTTCAAATACTCCCTCTCAAGGTCAAATCTTTCCTTGAAAGGAATGAGAAGTTTATTTAGGGATGGAAGGATTACTCCACTTATTTTATCTAAATATAGTTATCTAATTAGTATGCATGTTTAGCAATGCATTAATTACTCACTGATTACAAGTTGAGACAAATAAAATAAAAGTTGGCTTCAGTAACCAAGTGATTCGACTTTAGTGATGGCGGGGCTTTGGAAACTTCTGCATTGACTTGTGTGAGGCGCATCTTTTAACTTCCTATTTGGATGGACACATTATTTTCTTCATCTTTCATTTGATTTCTTCGTGAAACAGCCTCTCTAACCTATAGGGTTTGTTTGATTGGAGGGGAGGGAGGGGAAGGGAGGGAAAATGCATCTTTCTCCTCGTTTGGTTTTAAAATAGTGGATGGGAGGGAACCTAAGTTTTTGGCTCTCATTCCCTCACTTCCCCCTCTTCCTTCCTCCCAAATTGGAGGGATTGAGTTCATTGCTATACAACAACAACATCATCATCATCATCATCATCATTACCCCAGTGCCTCAACGGCTCCCGCCCATTGCGGGGTAAGGGGGGTCGGATGTACGCAGTCTGACCCCTATGTTTAAAACATAGGGATCTGTTTGTTTTAATCATGAAAAGGCAAAGTTAATGCAAATATAAAATAGGGATCTGTTTGTATTATCATCAATGCCATATAAAGCTTAGAGAAATGAGTTCTAAGCCTCCTAACAAGTCTTATAGTTTTCACAGTATGCCCCTCTCTTAGAGAGTTAGAGTTGTAGGGTTCGGAGCAAGAGAAACCTTTTCTTTTTTGTTCTCATTGTTAATGTGTGGCTTCATTGACTATAGGTGCTCAATTTTATGTCTTTTGACAGACCAAAGTGGCCGTCTTCTTCATTTGCTGCATCTGATGGATTGGTAACAGCCATGGCATATCGACTGCCTCATGTGGTACATTTGAATTATTGATGTAGTCTATTTATCTGCAATACATGTTGAACTTGATGATGTTTTTCCTTTCAACATTTCCCAACAAGAGGCAGTAATTTAATTATCCTGCAGGTTTTGGGGGATAGGTCAGGGAATATACGTTGGTGGGATGTAAACACTGGCCAATCTTCCTCATTTAATACACACAGGGAAGGAGTACGGAGAATTAAGTTCTCACCAGTTGTTCCCGGAGATCGTAGCCGTGGACGCATTGCAGTTCTCTTTTATGATAACACATTTTCTGTATATGATTTGGTAAAAACACATGTTCACCAGTCTTTGTTTTGGTGTTTTTAATCCTCTAGTCTCTCAATTTTTGATGTCCATCGGAGGATCTATCTTTTTTTTATTAAAAAGTCAACAGCAACAACCAAGCCTTATCCCCCTAGGTCGGGTCGGCTACATGGATCAATCGACGCCATTGCACGTATCATATCTGTAGCAAGATCTATGTTTTTATCAAGTTATTAAAATTTAGGGACATTTAAAATCGCAACACCTTGTAATCTTGTATGCCAAATTTGGATAAGCTACTTAAAATAAGTATTTTTAGATATACAGCTAATCATTTTTTAACTGCCTTCACCAATTCTTTTTCAGCTTATGCTGATAAGATCCTTAGAATGCCTTATGGAAATTCAGAATGGCCTTATCAATGCTCCATAAGCTCTTCATTAAAGCATATCCAAACACACTATTATAGCAGCATTTTGACATACTTTGCTATGTGAACATGGCGATTTTGGCTCTATTCAGTTTTGATGAGTAAAGGTTGTTATTTCTTTCATTTTTGTTTGTTTGACATCCACTCCCCCCTTTTGGAAGCCATCATCAACTTAATCTCTAGTATGCGCAGGTCGGAAACATGAAATGAATTCTTAGTTTCAATTATTTGTTTAAAATATTTAGCACCATAAATATATGCAAGTAAAGAAGAAGAAAGCATAGTGGAACATTATTTGTTGGGAGTCCTTCCTGCCTCAACTTTCTCATGCAGGAATAACGAGATGAGATTTCAAAACCATGAGCATCATAGGTTTTCCCTCTTGCATAACAAAATCATGAGATGTCAGTGGTGGCTGTTAAGATAGTCTTGGTAGTGATATGAACGCTTAATTGGTCTTTGGAGTCTGGACTGTGAACGTCTTTTTTTTTCCAAACCTAACAAATTTCTCAGTTTCTCAGCTAATTATTACACATTTTGTTCAATTTTCAGGATTCACCAGATCCATTGGCCAATTCACTTCTCCAACCTCAGCTCCCTGGAACTCTTGTTTTGGAACTTGATTGGTTGCCTTTAAGAACTGATAAGAATGATCCACTTATTTTGTGCATTGCTGGAGCTGATAGCAGCTTTCGTCTTCTCGAAGTTAATATGTATGCTCAACAGGGATCTTGATATGTTTTAGCTTTTTCTCATTCATTTCCACCATTTACCTGATAGTGATTAATCACCCAGTTTAGGGGGAAACATAACTGAGATATTGTACAAATTATTAAAGCAGTTCAGACTTTGTGAATGAATCAGCATATCTCTATCTTTATGATGTTATATCTTGGGCTTGAAAAGGGAAGAGTTGGTAGGAGTTGATTAGGTACCTATGACCCCGGGATGTCACCAAGGATATGACAGTAGATCGGAACGTTTGGAGATCTAGGATCAGAGTAATTGGGTAGTCCTGGGAGCCTTAGGTCATATTTCTTGCTGGCGAGTCTTTATGCCTTTTGGTCATTGCTTGTGTATGCAGGCTTGTTGTTTAAGTCTGTATGTGGACTTCTTCTCTCTCCTTGCTCTTTACTCATACTTTGTTAATTCTTGATTTGTGCTTCGTTTGTGCTAATGTGATCTGCATGTTGAATCTGCTTGCCCATTCTTTTGTACATGAGCTGGGGGTCTCTTGGAAACACCCTCTCTACTTTCAACTTTCAAGTAGGTGTAAGGTCTATGGACACTCACCCCCCCCCCCCCCAAAGACCCTACTTATTTGGGAGTTTACTGGGTTGTTGTTGTTGGGCTTGAAAGGGCTGCCAAAAGACAGAAGTAAGCCACACACCTTTTCAGGCTGAAGGAGGGATTTTATCCCCCTTTTCTCATTGTCGTGCATATAAATACATGTAGAATATCAATGCTACCATTTTAGTCATATCTCAATGTTACCTTGTTTAGTCACATCTAGTTGCTGACGGTGGCAGGGATGAAGCTGTTTTGCTACATTTTGTTGAGCGTTTTGACTGTTTTTCTAAGAATGTCAAGTTTATGGTTTTCAAATTAGTTTTTGAAAATTTCAAAGTCAGATGCTAGAAGAACTTGAAGTCCAGTTCTCCTAACATTGTTTCTTTATTCATGAATGCAGAAATGATAATAAAAGAACAAATGCCCCTGCAGCTCGACTCATCAATGAGAGATACCGGCCTGTGCCTTTGTTTTCTCCTATACTATTACCCACTGCACATGCTATGGTATGTTGCTATATATCTCTCCTCCCGAGACTTAAAAGGTTTACATACACAAAATAATGATTTCATACAGTGTGTCTGACAAAACCTATCAGAGCTAAATGCTCCCAACCATAAGATTAGTTAACTGATGAGACCATACCAAGCCAGTTCATTGATCTAATGGCTGGGAGCATTTGCACCTAGCAGATTTAGTTAGATGTGCCTTATGATATCATTACTCTATGTGTGTGTATGTGTGTATGTTCGTGTGTGTGTGCTTGGTTGGAAAAGAGTTGTAAATCAATTCAATAAAGTGTTGCAATTNAAAAGGTTTACATACACAAAATAATGATTTCATACAGTGTGTCTGACAAAACCTATCAGAGCTAAATGCTCCCAACCATAAGATTAGTTAACTGATGAGACCATACCAAGCCAGTTCATTGATCTAATGGCTGGGAGCATTTGCACCTAGCAGATTTAGTTAGATGTGCCTTATGATATCATTACTCTATGTGTGTGTATGTGTGTATGTTCGTGTGTGTGTGCTTGGTTGGAAAAGAGTTGTAAATCAATTCAATAAAGTGTTGCAATTAACTGGAAGGCATGTGTTCATGTACATAAACATGAGTTGAGTTCACATTATGTAACACTTAGCTTAGTGCATTAAAATTAACAGAGCAGTCCTTTTCCCATCCACACTAGCTGCGGAAAGATAAAAACCATGTTTTTTAAATTACTTGCTCGTTTACCTTATTACAGGCAATGCGGACGATCTTGCAGTTGGGTTTGAAGCCATCATGGTTCAATACATTTGGTCCAACCATGGTTAAAGGGCATTATGATTTTAACGAAACTCCCTCGTCCACCAGTGATCTTTGCAGTTACATGTTGCACTCCTCGTGCATTGGTGACTCTGTTGTTCCCGAGATGCTTCTTAAAGTGTTGGAGCCTTATCGGAGAGAAGGTGTGTTCTGATTTTATGTCTTAGGAATTGTTTATCTGAACCTCCCAATATATTTGTGAAAACTACATTGATAGTAACTGCAACTTTTAGTAACATTTCATTTCATGTGCCCAAGGCTGCATACTCGATAATGAGATGGTGAGGCTATATTGTAGTATAGTCAACAAAGGTTGTGTAGTAAGACTTGCATTTGCCGCTGCTTTATTTGGAGAACCAATGGAAGCACTTTTCTGGCTGCAATTACCTGATGCCATTAACCACTGGATGAAGAAGTTGGTTAACAAGTCTCCAATAAAAGTTTCTCAGTCAGCTACCCAAGAACTTGATGAGGCAACTATGCTTAATCGGATATCATCAAAAGGAAAAACAGCATCTGAATCACAAGAACGAAATGAGGTGATTAGTCATCTAACTTGTTAGCAATAAACTCTAGGCACTTCCAACCCTAGTATAATTTAATCATCTTGCATAATGGTTTTGAGATAACTTATCATAAGTGTTTTCTCGTATAAGCACAAGTTGATACTCGATATCTAATTCAGTCCATAGACTATACACTACTCCCTCCATTCACAAACTGACCATTATGAATTTTGTGATACATCAAAAGTTGAGTGAACCTAGACATAATGTATATCAATATCCATTCAACTTTTGATATATCTCAAAAGTCATAATGCTCAGTTCAATGTGAACGAAAGGAGTTTTACTTAATTTCCTCATCAATTTTATCTCTAACTGTGAAATTTGGACCCAATATAGTTTTATTCATATTTGACTCTAAATAGACAAACTAAATTCAGTCCAAATTAGATAGAGGACCAAATCGAGTCCAGAAGAAAGTCAAGGACTAAATTTAATAATTGCATAGTTGATCGACTAAACTGGCAGCTCTGGGTAGGGGTAAGGTTTGCATACAAACACTCTCTGGAGACCCCACACAATGGGATTTTACTAGGTCTGTTGTTGTTGTTGTTGAGAGACTAAACTGTGTCTAAAATATTTAAGCACTTGAAGTGATTTAAAAAAAAATTGCTACTTTCAAATATATGCATTAAAAGTTTTTTTTACTCTTAAAAAACCTTTTCCATTTTCCATCCAAATGATCTTATGAACTAAAAGTATTTATTTTCCTCTAAAAAGAACTTATTCCCTTGAAAAAAGTCCATCCAAAATGCACTCTATGACTGCCTCCATGTCTTTGTAAATGAGTGAATGACCTTGAGTGTGAGCTGGCTATTTGTCTGGCAGGGTAAAAATAAATTGAGGTTGATGGCTTTTGAAGAAGAAGGGTTACTGAAGTGTGCTAAGGAGCGTATCCTTTGGCATGAGAAACTTGAGGGTGAAGAGGCTATTCAAAACCGTGTTCATGAGTGAGTGCTCATCACTTGGTTACCCATAACCTTTTCATTTGTTATGTTACAGTTTGTATGCTCCAGGGTAATGGTACTATGTGTCGGGGTTGATCAGATCATCAGAATAGTCTCACCACCTATCTCTATAACTTACCTTTATTGGTGGGCACGTTAGAACGACTATTTTGTGGAATATATAAATCCTAATTTTTGTAGTGTAAGAGTTTGCAGTACAAGGTCATTATACACATATTTTCTATTATACTTAAATAAATCATTTTTATCCAACCAATATCAAAAGAAATTTATTTTGGGGAATGTGATGGAAAGTTCACGAGGTGGGAATCAAATAAGCAATTATTTACATGGCAGGGCAATGGTGGCTAATTTGGTATACTTGATGAATGACAAGTAACCACTTCAGTATTTCAGGGGTTAATCTATCATGTAGGATAAAATGTAGGGACAATAGAATAAATAAAGAAACAATAAGGAATAGTGCTCAGCTAAGAATTATTTAGCCAACTGAAGGAAATTTCTGACATTGCCCTGCCACGTGAATACTCACTTGTTCTATATATATATTAGCTGGCAGTCACACAATGCATTATGGATATTAATGTTCAATAATCATTTTTTAATCTAATATTTTATTATGTTTGTTGATTATCAGACTTGTGTCTGTTGGAAACTTAGAAGCTGCTGTTAGTTTACTGCTGTCTACTCCTCCAGATAGCTCATATTTTTATGCAAATGCATTGCGTGCCGTTGCTCTTTCATCTGCGGTGTCACAGTCTCTACTTGAACTTGCTGTGAAGGTACATGTTTCTCTAACTGCTTCCTTTATGCTATTAGCATACTCTGATGTTGGATTTCTTGTGTCATCTTTCCTAACCGCTATACTTCTACAGGTTGTTGCTGCAAATATGGTTAGAACAGACAATTCATTATCTGGTACACACCTGCTCTGTGCAGTTGGGAGATATCAAGAAGCTTGTTCTCAGGTGTTGTGTACTTGTGTCCCCATTTCCCTATATAACAGCATTTGGTATTTAAAAAAATACCCCCTACATCCCAAACAAAAGTTACACTAATTGCTCTTTCTAGGGTCACAATTTTCATTGATCATTTGATAAAATAAGTCGCATCACCTCTTGTTTGTAGAACTTTTGACAAGATTTTTTAAATTTGTAAGTTTTATATTTTATTTCTATATCATTTTTTAAATAAAATGAATTAAAAAACACTTCATTTTACCTCCTAATTCCCTCCGTAACTTTTATTTGGGGATGGAGGGAGTATATTGCTTCTGGGCTAATGTTACATAGGAAAGAATATGTCCAGTTTTCCTGTCATTATTTGAGATTGAACTAGGAAGCAAGTTCATATTTCCACTTGTCATCCTTTTACACAAGACATGTTTGATAAAAATCACTCTGATGAGCAATATCTTTATAAAAGCCACATTTTGGAGCGGCAATAACAATTTAAGGAATATCAATATTTACTTCCTAAATTGTTGGCATTTTACTAAGCTATCAAATCTTTTTTTAAAGTGCTAACTCCTTGTCTAACATCTTAGTACAAACTGCTAACTGATGTTTGCCAAGCCTGCTAATATATTCTGTTTTGTACTATTATTTAAAATATACAGAAAAAGTCAATTTTAATTTTTATGTAAAATTTCTTTAAAGTCAAGCGGTTTAGTCAATTACTGCAAACAATCTTAGAAATAAGTTTTAGGGATATAAGTGACCATTCATAACTTGTAAACGCTTGTCCTTTGAGTGGACTAAAGGTAAAATGTTGTTCCACACTTAAAATGTCAACCCATACCCTTTTTTTTGGGACAGAGGGAGTCTTTTATGGTAAGAGTTGCTCTGAAATTGAGAACCCCCATCTATTGTTTCTACGGATTAGAAAGCTAGAACTGAAGTCGACAGAGACTTGGGTGGTGTGCTGTTTTATGAATTTCTCACATATTACTAGCTGATCTTTAACTGCTCTCTAAATGTCAGCTACAAGATGCTGCATGTTGGACAGATGCTGCAACATTAGCTGCCTCTCATTTACAAGGATCTGATTATGCCAGGTTGTCTGCGTCTCTATCTTATTAAAGTAAATTCACAAGTTAGATCTCTGATTAACTTTTTCATTGTTAAGTTTTAATAAGGTATTCAGAAATACTTCTCCATCCCAGGATACAGTTCATGTTTTCCGGTTTGGTCTTACCAAAATAGGTTTCTTCTTTCTGGTTCAAGAAATAACGTGGTTCACATTAATTGTCTCTCTTCTAAATAAATCTCAGCCTTGCAATTTTACTCCTTGATAAGAGTGCTAAGGTCAAACAAGAACATTATTTTGGGTTGGAAGGAGTATGATCAAATGTACTTTCTTAGCACCACATATTTATTACTCTTTTTACGGTCATGTTTCATGATTTGCATGCTGATTATACATAAATGATCTTGTAATGAGATACGACTAACATTCATCTCAAGTTATTGTCATCTCATTTTTATTTCCATATTCAAGCTTAAATTATTAATGATGATGACAGTCTTGGAATTCCAACTCATTAGTTCTCCGTAAGAATAATGACATGAAGGGCATGTGACATGAAACTTTACCACTTTATTTTTTCTTTTCAAGAATTAATAGTGTTAAGCAAGTTTACACAATTGATTCACATTATAAATTTCATGTCACCCACCCCAAGGAGTTGGGATTGAGGTGATGACGATGACTATTCATTGCTACTTCGATTGAAGTATTCATATTTTTTGTGTTTTATCCTTAATATAAAGGGTTTTGCAACGGTGGGCTGATCATGTGCTGTCTTCTGAACATGACATTTGGAGGTACAATTCTTAATTCTGCTCTAGAGTTCTTATCCTACTTTAAAACAGTTTAATATTTATTTTGAGTACGTTTTTATTTGCTTTCCCTCCATAATCAACAATTCAGATAAAAAAATTATTTCCCTTTTTTAATCTTTCCTCTTTTCAAACACAAGAGGTGATAATTAGAAAATAAACTTTATTTTCTCTCCTTAATTACCTCTACCCAAACACAAGAGGTGATAAGAAAACAACAACAAACCCACTCCCAGTATACTCCCACAGCACAGTAGTGAGAAGATGTGGGTACACAAACCTTATATCTATTTGGAACTAGAGAGGCTATTTCCAAAAGATCCCCGGCTCGGCACAAAAACACATAAAGTAAAGACAACATTAGATTTAGAGCTCAGGAAGCACACATGCTTAAGCCACAAAACCTAGGCAACAAGGCAGACCAACTATTACAAATTAAGGCCTCTTGAGCGCTCATATCTAAGGCCATATAAAATATATTTTTTCCTTATTTTCCTCTTGTGTGAAAGTCATCCCGCAGTCCTGCCTAGGTTACAGGCCCTGCCGCCCTGCCAGGACTCGTATGGTGCTTCTTAGGGCTCCCATCCTTTTCTTGATCTCCAATTTCTCTTCTTAATGTCTTGTCTCAAATCTCAATGCTGATGAATTGCAGGGCACTTGTCTTGTACGTGGCAGCCGGTGCATTCCAAGAGGCATTGGCTGCACTTCGTGAGGCCCAACAACCGGACACAGCAGCCATGTTCATCCTGGCTTGCCGTGAAACTCATGCCGAACTACTCTCCGGTTTTGACATTGACGACAAAGCCATAGCATCTGTCAAGGATAAGTTGGTTAGTTTGCCCGGACTGAGCCCTGAAAGCGATGATGCTATGGCAGTGGTTGAATATTATGGGCAATACCAAAGAAAACTAGTCCATCTTTGCATGGACTCTCCACCTTTCTTCGACTAAGCAGACCTTTGTTGTGTGTTTTTCTCTCTCTGAGAGTGAGAGAGAGAGAGAGAGAGAGTTATTTAGAGGGGCTTTGGGGGTGTAGTGGCTTTTTGGAAAAGCCTGAGTGAAAAGTCTTGAACTGAAAAACAAACACGGGTGTTTGCGGTTTTGCTTGAAAGTTGCTTTGAAGTTTCTGCTTCGGTAAAATACTTTTGAACTTGTTTGACCACTCGCTTCCACTTATAGATTATGACTTTAGAAATCCAAATTAGGTTCCTGAAGTGCTTTTAAGCAAAACTAAGACTGTTTTTCCGTTTCTACTTATAAATATACTATCTTAGTTTTAGTTTTGCCGAAAATAACTTCTCGAGCTTAATTTTCAGTTCTATAGTCACAATTCATAAGCTAAAGTAGATTGTCAAAGGTACACTTTAAACTATATTTTGATGAATCAGAAGCTCAAAAGTTGTTTTCAAGCACAATCTCAAATACTCTCTTAGGGTCCGTGTGGTACACGGAATTAGAATTGAATTGGAAGTAAATATTCTATAAATTTATTTTGATGGGATTGAATTCTCCAATTCCAATTCATTCTTGGCACTACCAATTCCAAATCCACATATTTTTATCTCACCAAACAACAAAAATGGAATTGTTGTCTCTTATTCCAATTTCATAGTTTGCATTCCGTGTGCCAAACGGAGCCGTAGCGTGTTGGCATCCTCCTTTTGGATGCTGCTGCTAAAATGGGCTCATTTTCTCTGTTAAATCATTAGAATTTTCTCTTATAAAGGTATCCTCTTGGACATCTTGACTTATTTAATGTATACGTCTAGAACCACTTTGTATACATCTGTAAATTTGAATTATTCTTTTATTATTACTCGATTTAATTTGTGTTGAACTGTGTTATTGTTGCATTTATACGTTTGGTTGCGCAGCTCTACAGCTTATATATCAGCCTATAAACTGTAATGAGTTCGTGTTGGTGATACTGTTTACTAAGAGCATCTTTGATTCTTTTTACTATCAGCCGATTTATGATATTTGATTGAAATTATTTTTAATTTATTTTATATGAAAATAGATGTGGGTACTTAAATAATTTACTCCCTCCGTCCCAAAATATTTACAACATTTGCTTTTTCAGCAGTCACGGGAACTTTGTTTATTTCTACGTTTTCATTGGTTGTTTGATAAAAAAAATATTCTTGACACCTCTTATTTTGAAGAACTTTTCATGTACAGTAGTTTTTTGATATGTAAATTTTATTTTTTATTTCTATACCAATATGTAAATAAAATAAATTTAAAAAACTTGATATTTTATCTCGAGAATACAAGTGTGACAAATATTTAGGGACGAAAGGAGTATTTTTTCCATATAAATAATGGACATACAATTTAAATTGGGACATAGAAAATATATTTTGGTAATTGTTTTTTTTACTTAAATTGGGATGGAAAAATTATATTTTGGTATTATATATTGGTATCGTTGACATTGTACTCCAGCATTTTGGATAAAAGAATATATGAAACTCTAACTTTTGTAGTTTCTTCATATTTTGTTTCTAGTTTAGTCCTTTTCAGTATTCACTATACCTGACTGGTTCGAGAATAAATAATCAGGTCTTGCTAATTTACACCATCAGAATGAGTTATTTTTATCATCTTATTCTTTTCTAAAATATTTTTGTGTTATTGACTCGATTAAAATATTGTATATATTTATGTTTTTTTCAATTTAATGACGCATTATGAGTAATACCTTGTCTCTGCTGAGACTTGTAATCTGGGTGAGCTTTTCTTTTTCTAAAAGAATATATGGATAGTATAAAAATTCTCTCTTTTCTAAATAAGCTTTGACAACATTATTTTTTACTACTCCCACGTTTTGCCGTAGATTGTTCTTTTTTTCATTTCATAATTTTATAATGTCTTTTTTCTTTTTTCGTTCGTCCCAAAATTATTTATGATTATTTACTCCTACCCACCCTTTCTTACTCCTACCCACCTTAAAAAATTAAGTGAAGGCAATTTTAGAAAGTCAACCTTAATTTTATCCTTCCTTAAATATGGCCTAAAGTCAAAATAGGCGTTACAAAATGGGATGAAGGGAGTAACTTTTTACTTCTTTAATTTGTGAGTTTCTATTAATTATTTGAAAAAATAAAAAATCTTTTCATTTCATATTTTGTAAAATTTTTGATACAATTTTTTAATATATATGATTTATTTTTTATTCATGCAACGATTTTTAAATAAAAGAATTTTTAAAGATTGAATTTTACCTCGTAATTTTTAAATTGTAACCTAATTTGGAAATCATGAAATTAAAGTGCCTAAATTAATATGGGAGGACAATGTGGCGTGGTAGTCCTTATTCCTTAATTGCTATGGACTAGGGGAGTATGGATTACGGTAATTTTTAATTTTAATTTTAATTAGTTTTAAATAGTACTCCTAAATTATTGTTCTTCTAAGATATCTAAAATTCAGGAACCTTAGCAGATCAGTAAACAATAAACAATCGCCATCCTCTGTTTTCTTCCCTCCAAGTCTCCAACTTGGATCTTTGCAGAGATAAATTTACAGTCTTCGGATTTTGGATGATTAAACAAAACCCGAATATACATTTACATAAAGATATAATTGTGGATGATCGGAATCGGAGAGCGGTTTCTGATCTCGGAATTTCCATCTTTGTTCGCCTGTAACTCGATCTGCATGAACGGTGGAACGGCGAGTGAGGGATTGTTGTTGTGAAGGTTTTGTGGCGGTGGATTGCCCCCCAACATGTCTGCCATAGTGTGCGGCAAGAGATCGAGCTTCTTTGAGGATTTGCCGTCACCGTCGCCGTCGTCAGCTGCATCGCCGTCGTCCCCTCCGAGCGCGAAGAGGATCCGCTGTTCCTCTTTCTCTCCGCCCAGATCCGTCGCCAGTTTGTTCTCCGTCTCATCGCCGCTGGGTCATTTGATTGCTCGCTTCCCTAGCATGGACAAAGAGGTTCTTTTTTCTTTTTGTTGTGAATATAAAAAATTGTTCAAAGTTTGTGTTTTTAGATGTTTCGAATGGAGGATTTGGACTTCTGAATTGTTTATTGGAATAATGATGTGATTTTATTCCATTTCTCTTTGGCATTTTGCATATTCTCGATGTTGTGCTGAATCAATAATAAAAAATATGTATCCACTATATGATTGCCAGAAATTCGGTTTTGGATTAGTTTTCAGTTTTCTTTACAAAAATGTTACAAAGGGATACTTAGAACATAGGAAAAGCTTGTGAATTTGGGTGTGGGAATCTTTATTTGGAAATATTTATTTGCAGTTGCTAGAAAAGGCGCTTCATGAATGTGGAAATGATCTTGATTCGACCATTAAGAGCCTAAATGAACTTTTTTTGGGATCTGGCGAGAATGCCACCACACCTGCCGGAAAGGCCAATGCCACCTCAGAGTCCAGCAGACATGTTTTGAGTCAAGGTGCATTTTATTTCCTTTTCCCTTTTACTGCTGAATGTTTTGCATTATTTAGTGCTGAGTGCTTTGCATTGTTGCTTTGCATGTTGTTTTTCGCCGTTGATTTTTGGTGTTAATGATTTTCAATACAACCATTGGGTAAATGAGTTTATGATATTGTATAAAAAGCACATTAAATAAATTTATAAAATGAGTTCAAATAAATGTCTAAAATTGGTTTTATTGAGTTTGATCTAATCTTTTTATTTCCCCCTCAAAAGTTATCCTTCCGAATTTTCCCTCTATGTGCATTATACAGAGTAATTTTTCCCCGGGTTCCGAATGGAACCCATAGTGCTTGTTTTTATGCAGATTTCACTTGACCTGACACAATTTTTATAAGAAAGCCGTTGAAACTGTGAATTTACTCATGTTACACCAAAGCACAGAGGTTATAATGAATACATAAATTATCTTGTTTTGTCTCAAAGTCAGGCATTCTTTTGCAAGAATTGAAGGGTCGTATACCATGTTTCTATGCTCTTACGGTGTTAGAGCAAGTTGTTTGGAAATCAAACAGGGGCAGAGACAGGACTGAACTTGTAATTAGAAATTGCATATAGAAGAGAATAAAGTGGACCTGACTTGGGTTGGGCTGCGGTCAAGCCCCTAAATCGAACCCTGATATCACATCATTTGAATGATCATCTATAATTGTACTCCCTCTGTTTTTAAAAACACTTTCTATTTCGTTTTAATGTGCAAAAACCCATCTTTTTTTATTAATTTTATTTACAAATTGCTATAAAATAAATAGTAAAACTTATTTACTCCGTATTTAAAAACAACATAAAAAACTCTACAAAACTAGTGACAAGAATATTTTATTTTGTCAAATGGCTATTGAAAAAACACATGCTAACAAAAGTTATCGGAATGCTTTGAATAGTAAATAGGAAGGGTTTTGGCAAACGGAGGGACTATATACTCTAGCCCAAAATAAACAATACGTTCATTTTTTGTCTGGCTTAAAATAAAAGAAAAGTCCATTTCTTTTTTTGGTAAGGAATATATGGACATCATTATTTCTCTCCTTCAAATCAATTCCAACCACACATTTTTTATTTTTCAACACTTTTCTTAAGCTTTGCATTTGGTCAAAGTGGACTTGTAGTTTGGTACAAAAGGAGTATAAAATATTGAGACGAGTAACTATTCTAGCATTTCTATGTATTGAAGTTTCTTTGTATGATGCATGTAAATTGGGAATCAGGATTCACAGTGGTTGTTAAAGTTATTTTAGTGCACCTTGTGCAGGCTCAACAAGTAATGGGGATGTCTCACCTCAAGAGCAAACACTCACAAATAACCAGCCCCCTTTAAATAGGGAAGAATTTGTTGACATTTTTGTTAGAGAAATGATGATTGCCTCTGATATAGATGATGCTAAAGCCCGTGCTTCGTGGGCCCTTGAGGTTCTGGAGAAGTCCATTTGTATGCACACTTCAGCTGCTGCCACCCAGAGTTTCCAACAGGTATTTTTTTAGCATGTCTCACATGGGCACTCCTTACTTGACTTTGTTATTGACACCTTTTAGGAGCTATTCTCACATGGTAACCTGCAATTTTTTAAATAAAAAAAATATTGATCTTGGCTCTGCTTAGACTCTGGGCCCTAGTTCACTTCCAAGGATGAACCCAGCACTTACATTAGTTTGTAATACTTTGGGTCCGTTCAGGAGTCAGAAATTCCTAGGGTTTACTTTTTTGAGCAATATATAAGACTAATTAGAAATGTTTGGGATAGTAGAACATTTGTTCGAACTATATGTGTGTGTTGTGTTAGAAACATTTATATATGTGACTGTTTTTCACTGTGGCTTTTAGAACGTTTGGTCCACCAGGTCTCTGTACATTCCATTCATCTTTAATAAATTTGGTAAGGTTCCCTGGTCCTTACTCCTTACCTCATCGATTTTGATGGTTTCCCACCGGGTTAAAAAAATAAAAATAAATAAACACTATGAAATCTATTATGCATACTTAAACTTAAAAAATATTAGTCATATTTCATTTTCGTTAACATTATCTAGTATTTGTTAGGATCCAGGAGTAGTTATCCAACCATATCCTTGGCGAGTAATGTTTTCGTTTTCTGGAAACTGCCAAGAATTACACATAAGTGGAGACAACAACTTGAATATTTACTTACTATGGCAGAATTATTCTGTTACAAACGTTTATCTGTGCTAAAAACTACTCTTGTTTTCTTCTTAAAAGAAAATCTCTCAAACTATTTTCTTTTTAATAAAGAAACTATCTAAAACATTTTTTTAAACAAAGAAAATCTTTCTTTTGAAATTCAGGAGAATGTGATGCTGAAACAACAGCTTGAAGCTTTACTACAGGAGAATAATATTCTGAAACGCGCAGTTTCCATACAACATGACCGACAGAAAGAATTTGATGAAAGAGGCAAAGAAGTGAACCATTTGAAGCAGCTCTTAGCTCAATACCAAGAGCAGCTTAGAACTCTCGAGGTAAACCCACCTTAACCTTTATTTGATTGGGGATATCAGAGGGTAGGGAAGTGAAGTTATTTGTCATTGGTTAAATTACAACTTCTAAATTTTTGCAAGGTACAACTCTTAAAAGTCATGGAATGGTGCTTAACTTTTTAAGATCATAAAATGTACTCCATTCATTTTAATTGACCATAATGACTTTTACGATACATTAAGAGTTGGATTACTATGGACACACACAGTGTCCACATTCATTTATTTTACAGTGGATCAGGAAAAGTCGGGTCATTTAATGAACAGAGGTAGTATCTTTTTGCAACAACAAACCTGGATTCATCCCAACCCACTGGGTTATGGGGTCAAGATGTATGGAACATTACCCCTGTTATAAAAAAAGATAATTTGATTCCATTAGATCATCTTTGCTTTGGGGTGTGATGGAATAAATCAAAATGGATCTCTAAACTATCTGCGCTTCTTTAATTAATGAAGTAGCAGTTAGTCAAACACTGCAACTTTCGATGTTGAGCCGGGGGTCTCTTTGGAAACAGCCTCTCTACTTTCGAGTAGGGGCAAGGTCTGCGTACACACCCTCCCCAGACCCTACTCTTGTGGGATTTAACTGGGTTGTTGTTGTTGTTGTTGTAGATCATCTTTGCATTGATGCATTTTGGTACCCAAAACTTCAAGTCTCAGTAATCAAATTGTGTGTCCATCAGGTTAACAACTACGCGCTCGCAATGCATCTCAAACAGGCACAACAAAGCAACTCCATCCCGGGACGTTTCAACCCAGACGTCTTTTAGTGTGAGCTCGGCGTGCGGTTGGCCGTGGTGCACAACTTATACTACCTCTGCAAACTGTGTTGCAGGGCATGTGTGTTTTGGTATGTTTCAGTCTGTTAGCTGTCAAAGCATATGGCCTGGTCTGTCTTCACGTGTTTGATTATTTGTCTGCTGCAATCACTCAACTCAAATTTATATTAATTGTTTGCCCTTTGTGGCTTGTTGTATTCATATTAATTAATGATTATATACTGGCATAGGTTGTAATCCACATGCCTATTACTCGGGTACAACTGAAATCTGCCCTATCTGTAATGTGCATGGATTGCTCAACTGAACTGCTACATAACTAATGAGTATTCTTTATTTCCCAAAAAATAGAGTTTAGGGTTCTTTTAACACCGTTCATGGGCGTCATTATTTGACACCAGGGACATTTCAAAGTCGTGCATCGTTCCGTTCGATTTGAAAGTGATTCCTACCCTTTCAAATCCCTCCCCCTGGCCTCTCCTGGTTTGCCCGTATGCTACTATAGGGGGGGTTGTGGTTCGTCGTTTTGCTACAATAATAACGGAAGGGGGTTGGGCGTTTTGAAAGGGGGTTGGTTCGAGATTGCATGAAATGTTGTGAGAACATCAAATGGTTTGAAGTTATGTCATGATATTAGTCTAAAAAATCCCTATTTTCACAGAAATGATTCCCACTTACCCATAAAGAGGTTTGGGAGGTTGTAGGGCTTCAAATAGACGGGTGTCACATAACACGGGAGTCAATGTTACTTGAACCCGCGATTATTGTGTGTCGATTACAGTATTTTTGAAACATGTCAATTGTTCAAAGAAAGTTGACAAAATGGGAGTGGATATTGTTTCTCCGTAGACTTTTAATTGTAATTCCCAAATGTGATTTTATAACTTTGAGTGGCATTAAATAGATGTGGAATCTAAGCCAAATTTTTATCTAGTCTTTGGGTCTACACTCATTTTATAGACTTTAGCACATAATTACAATAAACGAATTGGGCTTTTTACATAAGGAAAAAATTTTACTTGTACGCTCATGAAAAGTGTAAGAAAGTCTACATTTTCCATGTAGATTTTAGGACAACTCGAAATCTAAATGTGTTTAAAACTAACAAAAATATTATCAAATCAAATTATGCTCATGTATTTCATGTCAAATATCTTGGAAACACCTTTATCTTTGAGATAGGATCCGAATAAAATTTGAATGTACACTCTCTATTTAGATTCTATTTTGTAAAATATTACCAAGTTTACTGTTATTGTATTATACTTTATATATCAAAATGCCACACCTATCTCTAGGAAGTCGACATATGACTGCCTATGTGATATTTTTTTTACCCCTAACTTATGAAATGGAGTAAGAAAGTTAATAGTTTGATATGAAGTCAATGAAAAAATTAATTATGGAAGAAATACTTTATTTTTCATGATAATATTATTTCCTAAGCTAGTTTTATATTTATTTATCTTCATTTATAATAAAACTTTCAAATAATAAATATAAATATAATACTCTCTACCAATAAATAAATTATACGGAGTAAATTTTTATTAGACATATAAATTAAAATGTTAGTTTTGATTCTATTTATCTAATACCAACTTTAACTTAAAACCAGAAAAAATATATTTAAAACTAAAATAAAATTATACTCTCTTCATTTCATATTAATTGTTTAACACTTTCTTAAGAAATGTTAACATACATTATGTCTACATTCATCAACATTTCAATGTATCAATAAAGTATTCATAGGCAATTATTATGGAATGAATGGAATATAAAACAAGAGCTGACTATATTATAAAGTGTTCAAATAGAAAAAAATAATAGGCATAATTTGGTAGTTTGAGTACATTTAGTTTCTGATTTGATATAATTACTCCCTCTATCCCAATTTAAATTATTTGTTTTGGTTTATGATATTTGACTAAATTCAGTTTTAATATAATTTATTAGAGAATTACAGCAGAATTAAAAAATAAACTTTACGTACGGAGTATAATTTATAGTTTATGTTTATTGTATGATTTATAAATTGATTTAAAAATATTCAAAGTACTATTTCTAATTGTTTATGGTGATATTTGTAATTATATTATAGGATACAACTTATCAAAAATAAATTGTCATTGTGACTAATTGTGTTTATACTAATAATATTTTTTATTTCATTATCATTGACTAAATTTATTTATGATCTAGAGATATTCGTTTTATGAGAATATATATTTTCAAGGTGTAGAAGGAGCAATAGAAGATACTGAAAGGAGAAATATAGAGAATATATATGATATAAGGAAGATCTAGGTGTAGCGACAATCAATGAAAGGAGAAATGTAGAGAAGATTCAAGGTGCAGAAGGGAATAAGATCAAAGACAAATATAATTTCTCATTTGTAACTCTTTATATTTTGATAAAACATTTTGTATTGGCCATAATACTTTTATGGACTTGAATAATTTAATATGTAAAAAGAAAACAAAAAATTGAATAAATACTACGTATCAAATATTTTTGTAAATTTTCTATTAGGATCATATAACCGTTAATATTTTTATTGTATTAACGTTTTTTGAATTGATGCGAGAAGATTCATTGATTTTTTTGAAATACCAGACGAGTTGATGGGTCACCCAAATAACCAAGAAAAAATCAAAGCAAGACACCAGATCGACTACACACAATGTTGTGACGTAGTAAGACACAAATATTTGTGCAACTCGGAGCAAATTCCCCTACTTTGTGAGACCCACATCTGTAAAACAATCCTTCATTAAACATTATTATTATGATAATTAATATTCATCTGAATCATTAACTAATTCTCATAGTGCCTAATTTTGGAGCATTACATCAATAACTATGAGACTCAATTAACATATAGTAGTCTTTAGTGTGTTGTTGGTTCCGTTGCCACCGGATAATGGTGTCACTAGCTTTTTGAAATACCTTTGTTTGCAAAATTAATGATTCTTGTCTTACCTCTGCCCCGTCCAAATGTGTGGTCATTAAGCAATATACTATGAGTAAGACATGAACTCTTAGGGATGTGAGTTTGTCCCAATGGTGAAGGCTAAGAAGAATTAAAACATTCTTTTATCACTTATCATTGCATTATCCACCACAAATCATTTTACCAAAAAAATCCCAAATTCAGCAAAATATATTTCAATCAATTATCCAATTCAACAACATAATGAGCATGTTTGAGAATAGCGTTAGATATTAGCATTAGCATTTTCAAAAACTATCTACGAGCAACATTTAACAGTAGCTTTCAAACTAATCTGCACCGTTGAAATTTTATCCAAAACGTTAATGTTAATCTCAAATGTTATTCCCAAACACACTCAATACTAGCAGTACTTACATCAGCACAAGATACCAACTCAAAATAGCATAACAGTTCCAGCACCCACAACATATCCAGCATTAAAAGAACAGAGCTAAATCGTATTTATCAACCGTATCATGAATTGGAAGCATTATACATCTAAATATTGCCAAACACATATAAATAAGTATTTTCTGTCCCCAAAAGATTGTCACCGTTTGACTTTTTTTTGTAAAATTATGGCACGAACTGAATATAGTTTAAAATAATTAAATATTATAAAAATTTAATGATTTAAAACTATATTTTAAAATAAACTCATATTTACTAAATTTATACTTAATTTAATATACTCTTTCCATAATTCACGATCAAAATTTGCTCCAATTTGACCAAAAAAGTCAAACTACGATAATTTTTTAAGAACAAAGGGAGAATATTAATATAATTATAAATAAGTAATTATAAAATTCTCCGTACAAAACAATGTGTATTTGTCGAGGAAGAAATGCACCAAAAAACATGTATATTTTTTTATTTGGTACTTCCTCAGTTTTATTTTAAATTGTCTGTTTGCCTTTTTTCTGTTCATTTGATACCCCATATATACTAGGGAGTAATAAAGTCCAAAATATTTTGCACTTACTAACACAATCAAACAAAATCTATACAAGTTTAATCTTATGAGATTAAAAAAATCAATTATTTGACAACTTTATCATTTGAAAATGATTTGTAACATCAATTTAGGATGTGTTTTATAAGGTCTAGTTAAAGTCGCTTAAGTGTAGAAGGTTTCGTCAATGATAAACAATCAAATGCGTCTACGTCCTATAACATTTCATATATTTGAGAAATTTATAATATAGAGTAACATACACATGGAGTCTTTCAATGACTCCCTAGTTAAAATAAAATAAAATGATCCAAGAAAAAGGAATTATAAGGCAACTCCTTTTGCAATTGGGAGGTTAACCTTGTGGAATTAAAAAATCAATTATTTCATCACATTGAGCAATCGGCAATATCTTCTCAATCATATAGTGTCTATCTTGTGGATGGTTTGAACCATTCCTAGTCAACATCCAGCAAATCCACAACTTGTGACCCAACCATTAAGAGATGAAAAACATGATAATATGTAACGTAGTACTACATAATTCATAGGATAAAAGATAAACTAAAAAATAATTAAAATGACGACAAATGAAACATTGAAACTCAATGAATTCGATACAAATTCTTCAAAAATCATGAAAACATTAAATGCAATAGCAAGCCTTAATGAAGCCAACAATATTGCCAAGATGACCTACATTCATAAGCCTGCAATGTGTGTGAAATAGTGGGAGGCTCGGGACTAAATGATGTGTGAAGAACTACAAACCTAAGCCACAATAGCCTGGTTGTTTAGGCAGGAACGGTTTTTCAGACAATGTTGTAATGAACTTTAACTTAACTAATTCATTAGTTAACCAACCGTTGAAGAACCTGGTGCCACATTTTAGAATCATAACTAGAGTCTTTTACAAATTTATTAAAGTGCCACCACAAAGGGATGATAACTTCTTAGGCAAGCTTTGTACCTGACCTTGAACTGCATTGACCAACCTTTGAATGATGCATCTAGTGGATTCACATTTGGGGTAATAAACACTTTATGATCCTACAGGGAGTGATAAAAGCTTTAGAGAAAACATTACACTTGACTATACGATATAACGGTCTAGTGGTCTTAAGTCTAAACCCAACTTTGAGACTTATGTGTTGTCATATTATCATACTTTAGGTTATCAAATCATTTACCCATAGCATATTCAAACATCACAAAGCAGTAAAATTAAATGTGATAAATGACTTTTAATTCATTGGTTGTTTGAGAAGTCCAAATTTAAAAATGGATTCAAAAGAAGAAAATACGACTTTAAAATGGTGGTGGTGATATTGAAGTGTGACGTTGTTGACCTACGGCAAGAATCCAAAGCAAGAGACATTATCCCTGCATCAAAGAAAAGAGGAAGATAATGCAAGATCGTGCCATACATATTCAGAAATTTCAAAAGGAAAAAGAAAAGGTTGTTAGTGGTCGAAACTCTAATCTGGTGCTGCCGTTCGTCCTCCCTGCCTCATTACCCCTTGATCACTGTTGTCTCCCTTCTGCCGCTAGGGATCTGCCCTAGGATTAACAATTTGCGAACTAAATATGGAGTTTGGAATTTATAAGAACATATATTCTTTTTAAAAGTACTACTTGAATATAACTCTAGAATATCCAAAATGAATTTTTTAGATATTTTTTAGATATTTTTTAGAATTAAAAGATATTAAGGCATGAAACAAACTTGATTTCAGTATTCTCAAAATTTGTAAAAGAAAAATATAAGCTTAGAGTTAAACAAATACTCGAATATGACTCAATGAGCTTGAGGAAGGCAAATATTTAACACTATTTAGAAGACACTAATTCTTGTAATTACAATATCCGCATGATAGAAAAATTGAGAAAAAGTGTTCAAAATTGTGTAAATACAGAATACTTTTTCTAAAGATTGATACAAATGTTGATTCATAGAATCATATTACCCAATTAGACACGAAATGTATCCAGGATCTCAAAATAAATAAACTAAAACTATTGATTGGTGTCAAAAATACTCTGTAATATGTCAATAATTATACCTCCCTATAACCTTATCTTGACCAATCAACGTCTTCATCAAGACACAAGCTCTTCTTCTTTAGGCTTTGATAGTTTTTCTATGCGGATTAAAATCTAAATGAAAAGAAGATAGAATTGAAACCTTGATAATTAACGCAAAATGAAGAAATCGATGCTGAAATTTGCATGTCACATAGCTGCTAGGAAGATGATGAATAGCTAATAAAACTGCAAGCACGACATATCTCGAAAAAGATGCAACCCAGAGCTGGAAAATGTTGGCAGGAAGATCCATTGGTTTCCACCAACAAACCAACGGCTTTCTAGCCTTCAATCGCAGTGCTATAGAAGAGGCAAAACTCTGAAGATGCTGAGATGCGATGGTCTGAGAAAGTGAGCGGTTGAGAAATACAGAGTACTCCATAATGAGAGATCAGTGGTAAGTGGACAATTGATAGGGCAGGTTGCCCGGTGACCTTCGGGCAATAGTTTGGGCGGCAATACTTTTCATGCGGTTGTTGTAAATAGGGAGATTGAATGTCGAGGGAAACAAAAAATGAACTTCTGAGTTTAGTGTGTTGTTATAGATGATCTTTCCCTCTTATTCTGTCTAGGTACTGCTCCCAGTCATCATCACTTGCCAATGCTAACACGGCAGCTTGGATTTCAACTCACATTGCTCACCTCATTGTTGGACTCCTTATATCATTTGTCATTGATGTTGCTACTTACAATGAACAATGATGATATACCACCAAAGCACGGACCAGTGACTCTAAGACTATCAGTACATGTATAACGTTATCCCTCCCTCGCTTCAGATATTCAAAACCACTAACTCTTCATTATTCAAATTCACTATCAAATGCCCACTTATATTGAACAAACAAATAGATCAAAAAATATGTTTTGTTTTCACAGCAAACTACTTGTAACTAATCTTTAGACTTTAGATTATTCAAAATTGTCACATCAAGAATAAATTTTGTTTAAACCCACAAAGTAGATGTCTCCCTTCGATAGTGATGATGATAACCTTTAGCACTCCCCACTCATATCTCCTCCAGTACATAATCATTATATTCAATTGTAATAGTATACATCATCTACGCTAGCAAAGAACATGAACTTTTTGATAAACTTCTAACATCGCCAATGGAATAAAAGAGTGCTTTCACAGAGTGACAACACACACTCAGTGAAAGAACATGTATATCGGAAAGATTTTGGTGTAGCTTGGCTCTTACTAGAAGGGATTTCACAAGTTTGGGAGTGGAGAAACACAAATTTAGTCACCTCTGTTGAAATTAGAGAATAGACATTTTAGGAAAGATAAGATGAAGAGGATGAAGAAGGATGTTTTAACAGAATTGAAGAAAGTGTTGTTGATACCAGAGAACATGTTTCTCACACTTCTTGAAAGAATGTCATGCATGAGTAAAGATCTTGTCTCCTTCACAATCTGGTGGAGATTTAATTTAATACAAATGATATATTAAATTATTTAACTAATTATTTATTCAAATATACCACTCGTATCACCAATCTCTTGGTTACTCAAATCCCACATCAAGATTAAATTTTATTCAAAACCAAACATAACATCTCCCTTTAACCTTAATGATAATCCTCTTCAGTATTCCCCCTTATTTCTCTTTCAATGCCTCGTTATTCCATCGTAATAGTATACGTCATCGATGCTAGCAAAGAAGAAAACTTTTTCATTCGACTTCCAAAATCTCAAATGGAAGAAGGAAATTGCTTTGACAGAGTGGCAACACACACTTGGCGATTTGGCGATGCTCCAAGGTACAAACACATCAACTCTTTCATGCCCTCCTAGTACTTGTAATTGTTTACAATCTTCATCTACAATTACAAGTACTAAGAAATCATGAAGAAGATGTGGTGTTTGTGTCTTAGAGCAACAACCATAAATTAACCATAAATTGTTAGCCATGTTTGGTGATTATGAAGTGGGCAGAGTGTGAAGTTTCTATTTAGGTGTGTATTGCCACTCTATCAAAGTGCTTTCTTCTCCCCCACTTGGGATGTTGGAAGCCGAACGAAGAAATTTTGCTCTTTAATAAAATAGACAACGTATACTATTACAATGGTATACTATTACAATGAAAGAGATAGAATGGCAAAACATTGGGAAATAAATGAGTAATGAAGGGGATTGTCATTATATTAAAGAGAGATGTTATGTGTAGTTTTGAACAAAATTTAATCTTGATGTGGGATTGGAGTAACCCGGATATTGATGATACGAGTGGTATATTTAAATAAGTAATTAGTTAAATAATTTAATATATTATTTGTATTAAATTAAACCCTCCAAATTGTGAAGGAGACAAGATCTGACCTCATGCATGACATTCTTTCAAGAAGTATTAAAAGCATGTTCTCTGTTATCAGCAACACTTTCTTCAATTTTGTCAAAACTTCATCCATCCTCTTCATCTCATTTTTCTTAAGATGTCTATTCTCCAACATCAACAAAAGTGTGACCAAAACTACATTTGTGTTTTCCCACTCTCAAACTTGTAAAACCCATTCTAGTAAGAGCCAAGTTACACCAAAATCTTTCCAATATACATGTTTTTTCACCGAGGGTTTGTTATTACTCTGTGAAAGCACACTTCTTTCTTACATTTGCGATGTTAGAAGTCTATCAAAAAGTTCATATTCTTTGCTAACATAGATGATGTATACTATTACAATAAAATATAATGATTATGCACTGGAAAAGAAATGAGTGGGAATGCTAAAGGTGATCATCATTACTATTGAAGGAAGACATCTACTTTGTGGTATTAAACAAATGTCATCTTGATGTGAGATTTGAATAATCTAAACCCAAAAGATTGGTTACAAGTAGTTTGTTGTGAAAGGAAAACATATTCTTTGCTCTACTTGTTTATCAGATATAATTGGGATTTGATAGTGAAATTACTTCTGAACATTTGAAGCTTTTGCCTAAGTTTTTAAAGCAATTCTTGCATAATCACAGAAACATTGTGTATCGAAAAGATTTTGGTGGAGCTCAACTCTTATTAGAAGGGATTTTAAAAACTTAAGCAAAACCTTCAAATGTTCAAAAATTTCTGAATCTTCAAAGAATGAAAATCCACTTATTAAAATCCTTTTGCATGATCAAATTTTTTAGGGCCAGAAATTCAAGAAAAGAAATATTCAAAATGCTCGAATCAATTTAGAGTAGATTAGAGAAAGTCGTAAATTAAAGTTGAGTCCTTGAAGACATTGGATGATTATTTGACTACTTTCTCTTTGATAAACATGCTTGATGGACGTATGTACCCATTGAAGAGTTTCTTAAATCAAGACGGATATCAGGTTTTCAAAGACAATGAATTTCACAAGAGTTTCTTTTGAATTGAGACAGTTAACTGGAACCTTTCCAAGGGAAATGAGATAATACCAAACTGACAATATCCCATTTTATTGTAATATTCCATTTGGATCTAGGGATCATAAACATCTGAAAGAGAAAAGAAACCAACAACCTCTGAAAATTTTAATTCTAAAGATCAAAATATAAGGACATTATAAGTATTGAAATTAGCAGCAACACTTTCTTTTATAGACTACAACCATATGTCTAAAGATTGCAGACATTAATATACTCTTGCATTTTTGTTCCTAGTCTTTGCGGTTAGAACCCTCATCTTCAATTAAATTATGTTTCTGAAACTTTTGATATCCTTCTTATCTTCACTTTTTCTCTTTCTCATCATCCATTGGGGTCTATTAGGAACCCATGTAATGCTAGAGAAGAGAAAAATGAAGGCAAAATAGAAGATAACAGCAGATAAGAGTAATTAGACAATATATTTATAATTAGGAGTTTGACTTGCAAATATTAAGCATAAATTACGGAGCCTGAGCATTGGCTAATCAGATTATGAAAATAGAAATTTAAAAAAATATATGAAAGTCATAAATCAATAGGAGAAAAAATCAAAGAACAAAGCTTCGGCAATTGATACAACCTGAAAACCTCTTTTGGCACTTCATACAAACTGAAAACTTTTGGCACTTGATACGATCTGAAACTTGTGGAACTTGTTGCGGATGATGATGGTGAAATCGCAGTAGTTGGTCCGGCCAGTGAAATTCCGGCTAGAGCTTACCCCATTCCGGTAAGATTTGGATAAAAATTAGGGTTCAAAATCAAAACAAAGTGTAAAAGAAACCTGATAAGAGCGACCACCGGTATTTGGACGGCAGAATCGGACCGGATAAATTGGTGGATGTCGACAGTGTCAATTGACTCTGTCATCGGCAATAGCAGACTCTCACTCGCAATCTAGCTCTCAGCAGCCGCAGAAAGCTGCAGATTGGAGAAGAGAAGAAGTGAAGGGTTTGAGTGTGCTCCTAAATAGTGAATGGGCGTGGTTATGTCTATTGAATTGGGCTTCAATTAGATTGGGCTTATAATTTAATTTCGGATCAGATAATATAGGTTATAAATAACTAAACATATTAGGCTCAGTTTTTGAGTTAACCGAATAAAACGAGGCTTCAAACCGAAACCCGACCGAATTAATTGAAATTTTAAGATTGATTAACTGAAAACAAAACTTAAATTCCAGTTATTTCGGTCTTCGGTCAATGATTTTTTGGTCAGTCTGGTTAATTCACTTAGTCCTATCTTTATATTTTCAAGTCAAATTCTATGATAGACCTAAAGTCCATCATGGACATATATATGAGTAAAATAAGAATTTATTTATTACTTAAATAAGCACTTATCTTTTTAATTAAAAAAAAAAAAAAATTTTGTACGTGAGAAGGTCCACAAAAATAGTAGGCGTGCACTAAAGAAACATTCTGTTTTCAAATTGATTATCAAGATCATACTTATTAATTAGAACAAAAATACATAAATTAAACTATCAATTAACGGCATCAAAAAAGTTAAAATTTATATCAATTTTTTAAAATGATCCTTTCTAAAGAAGTGTTTTTTTCAAACTGGACTAATTTTAAAATAAAAACTCATTAATGGTGTGTTTCTCTATGTAGATATTTATTAACTTATTGCTAATTAAATTATGCGTAGCAGTTCAAGTTTTGGTTGGGGCGTTCAAGGCTTTCCTGTCCTAAAGAACAGGCTCCACGGCTTACAAAAAAACCTATTGTTATGGTTTTACTTCTAAGCAATTTATAACTTATGTTTCTGTAACTTAAATATTTTTTTCATGTAGGTAAAATGACTTAGATGATATATAAGTTATTTGGGAATATTTATAACAGGTAATAGATAGTTTTGTAAATAATTTAGTCAAAACGGAAAAACAAAAAATTAATTTTAAAAAAATACATACGATATACGGAGTACTTATTTTTCTAGCTTATAAGTAATTTATATGTTAGCTTATAAACACAGATACATATGTCATCAATTAATATATAAGTTAAAAACAACTTATAAGTAATTTTGACTATTGTATAAGCATAGAGAAATAAGCACTAAATTAGGAAAATTAATTTTAAATTTCAAATGACGAACATATAATACATAAAACTATAAATGTAATCTTATAAAATTGAAAGTAACGTTTTAGATTGTTTAAAATTATTTAGAACACTATCAATTTCGTATATAATCAGTTTTAGGTCTTATCGGTGAGATATAATCAGTTTCGGATATAAATCAAATATAGATATTTAGTTTGAACTATTTCGATATGTTTCGTAATAGTATACATCATCAAAAAAGCAATATACATAAATTGGCTAAACAACACATGCCTAAAACTCTAATCTACGATCTATTTGTTTTTTCAAGTATTTTATTGACCCGATGTGAAATTTTTGTTTTTTGAAACTCGAGTATCTGGTAATTTCTGGATCAGACATGGAATAAGTATTTGTTGATCCAAAAATTTTACCCCATTGGGTATACTCGAATGAACATCCCTAGTCCATGTAGACTACGCATGATGTATCTATGTCACCAATGAAGTTGTGAGGTTCCACTGCGAAATCAAGATCCTCACCATCACACAATGACGAGAATATGACATGTTCTCTTTCTACAGGCTTTCTTTGACTTATAATAGCAAGAGTTCTCATGAAATTAGAGAGGACCATGCTATACTTACACCAAAATTTATACTCCATTTGTACACCGCAGTTATACACAAATATTTTGATGGTTTACACCGACACAAGTGTTGGTGCGTTAACAAAAATTTACATGGACACAAAGTGTTGGTGCATTAACAAAAATTAGTTTTACACCAACACAAAATGTTGGTGCAAACCTACGGTGTACAAATGAGGTACAAAAGCTTGGGTACAAATAACTTTATCCATTTAGAGAAGGCCTTAGTAAGATTGATTCCCATTTGCTTTGCTTGCCTAAGAGCACTGGAAAAACTCGTGAAGCCCCGGGGCTTCAAACTGGGGCTTCAAAATCTCTCTCTCTACCACGTCAGCTTTAACTTACACCAAAAATTCACTGGAAATGGGTTTGAAACCCCGGGGCTTCAAATAGGAGCTTCAAACCTTCATTTTTTACATTTTTAAATTTACATCTTCTAAATTTAAATTATTAAATTTTAATTAATTTATTTTTTAAATTAATCAAAAGGAGATTAGTACATTAAAAAAATTACATTCATTAAAAAAATATTACATTCATAGAAGAATACATTCATAAAAAAGTTTCATTCAAAAAAAAATATCACATCCATAAAAAAATAACACTACAAAGAAATTACTAATTATTCGAGCAACTAAAAATATCTTCATTCAAATTCGAGTTGTAGTAAAATATTGCAAACTGAAATAATTTATCAAATAAAAAATACAGTCAATAAAAAAAGTATGTTAAATTTAATAAAAAACAAAACAAAATTACATTACTAAAAAAAAATTGAACAAAAAAATATTACATTAAACAAAAAAATATAGAGTAAAAAAATTATGTTTGTGTATATTTTTTTAAAAGAGAGAGTGGGGAGGGGGAGAAAGGGTTTGAAGCCCGTTAAACATTTGAAGTAGAAGAGATGAAGCCCAGGTGAAGCCCCAGGGGAGCGATGTTTAACGCCCCTTGGGCTTCAAAAGTAG